GTAATATCAATATTGGCGAAAAATTAATGGTGAATATTCGGCAATATTGGTGCGATATTATATGGAAATATCGGTGAACCATTGAAAATCATCATGAAGCTATGTTGTCTCAAAAATATTGGTAGAATATTTTCATACCAATATTGCTAGAATATTCGTGGAGTTATATTGGTCACAAACTCTGATATCAATATTGCTGATAAATGAACAGTGAACCTTTGACAATACTGGTGCAATATTGGTTGGAAATATCGGTACATTATTGAAAATCATGATGTAGCTATGTTGTCTTCAAAATATTGGTGGAATATTTTCATACCAATATTTGCGAGTTATTCGCATTAGGAATAATCCCAAAGGTCAGCCCAGCCGATGTGCAATGGAAGGGCCTTGCCCTGGGGAAGCCGCTTTTTTGATCACGGTTAACCCCTATTCCAGGTAATAATGCTTTACAATCGTCTAGATAGATGAAATTATATCAATCAAGATAGGTAAATATGATGTTTCAAATATTGTTGAAACAATATCCCACCAATATGCCGTTTAACTTGAATATACAATATTGCATAACCGCTTCAGAATCGACATGGGGAGAATGTTCAAATTGCGATATTGGTTATAAATGTCGGGAACAATATGTTTACGATGTTGTTGTATCGACATTTGTGAAACAATATTATATAACATTTATAGATATGTTTTTCAGCACATTGTTAACGAATTTTACAACCAGAATTGCTCCAATATTGTAGCTGACAATCCATATTCAGCTCAGGTTGAACAATATTCCACCAATATCATCATTCCAATATTGTATGTCCAATATACTCTCATATTGGACATATATTAATTTTCACATGTACGATATATATCTATATCGGCCCAATATGAAATCGTATTCCAGCCAATATGATGTGCTACCTGGGTAGTGGTGGAAAAACTATATTATCATGGGTTCCTCCTATTATGTTCTATTCAACGACAGGTCTCTAATGTTTTTTTGATAACTTGATTATAATCGGTGAGTTGCTTCATGAGTGGAAATGGAAGATCATTTGACCAATTACAAAACAGCTTAAAAACTGACGTGACCATTTATTCGACGTATCGTGGACATATCGCCGAATGGCGGCCATGACGTTTTGTTCGAAATGAGCTCCGAAATTCAACAATTTCGAACAACGCATAGACTTATTATTTATATACAGTATGATGCAAATGTATGGAATAAATTCATTATTTCAGAAATGGGCGACATTTGAAGAAATTCCAAAAACACGTGAGTTTTAATTTTTGAAACCTCATCTCATGACATTCATATGAGAGATGTAACGTCACCGGTGTTGGAGTAATGACGTAATGGACGGTTTTTTTAAATACAAACAGGGGTCATGTGACACCTCGTTTGAAAGGTCTATTGATCGTCTATCCAATAGTAAAAATTTTGCAAAAGAAGATTGACATTAAAATGGATTATCATTTGATTAACTGAATCTTGCAGAGATCTTCTACTGAGAATTGAACATCGAAGGGTCGTCTAGTTGAAAAAATACACCGATAAAAAAGTTCTGAACTCTACTTTTTGGATTTTTTTCGGAAGTCATCTTGTTTTGAAATGAATTTATTCCATACATTTGCATCATATTGTACATATAAAAAGCGTGACAAGCGTTGCGAGAATTAATTTAGGCTCCTAATGACACAGTGGAGTAATTGAATGTCAATAATTCATTATCAGTCCACTCGCCTATAGGTGGATTAGTCGTAGGGTCACAAAATGTTTAATCAATATTGGCAATAATTGAAAAGAGAACATTTGACAATAATTCAACAATATTAGTTGAAAATATTGGTGGAGTCGACTTGTTGATCACGGTTCAACAACTTACGACAGGTACCTACGTATGCTTTTCAATCGTCTCGAGCCAATATTTATATTCAATCGTCTGACCGGCACCGAAAGTACGTTACCAATAATATAAAACGCCATCTATCGACATCGGTTTGAGAGTAATATTGAATAACTATCAAAATGCCGATATCGATATGTATCTCCAAAACAATATGTTAACAATATTGCTCACATGATATAGTCAATCAACCGATATGCAATCTCACTGGGAAAACCATATTGTTTCTCTTTTATGACCGATATAAAGAAACATATTCAATTGCCGATAGAGATATTCATCTTTCAAACAATATGCATTCGATATCTTCCGCATGATATAGTTAAAACGATTCCAATCAATATCAGTGAATATGATATTTCGAATATTATTGGAACAATATCAGAGCAATGTGCTGACTAACTCGAATATACAATATTGAATAACCGTTTCAGAATTGACATGGGGAGAATGTTCAAATTGCAATATTGGTTATAATTGTTTAAAGCAATATGTATACGATGTTGTTGTACCGACATCCGTAACACAATATTATATAATATTCACATGTATATTTTCCACATATTGTGTACGAATTTTTCATCCAATATTGCTTCAATATTTTAGTTGACAATCCCCATTTGACTCAGGTTGAACCAATATTGCACCAATATTAATATTTCAATATTGTATTTTCAATATACTCTCATATTGAACAAATATCATTTTCACACTAACAATATGAACTCAGGATTTTGTCAAGATGATGTGCTTTCTGGCAGACTTTACCAACATTCCTTCGTGTATGGAACGGCGAAGCTTTGGAATTACTTGTCAATGGAAGTATCTCCAAGAACGTACCTATAACCTCCAAGAGTTTGAATCCAAATTCCTACATATTTCTCCTCTCCTTATATTTCATGAGTGTGCACGATGTTCTTCGAACATTATAGGAATTGCATTTCGTACGCTCCAAGTGATCTAATTTGCTTGCTGACCACGAAATCATAGGCTAGAGCGTCATTCAGTTGAACTTTCGTTATTTGGATCGAACATATAGTTCCATGAAACTCGTATTTTCCATGGAAGAACAAATCAATATCACTTCAGATTCTACCGGGAATTGATTTAGAGGTCGACCATTTTGAATGAAGCCATGTAGATATCATCACGACATTCAATAGAACAAAAAATTCTATTTCCATCCTAGCAAAAAGTTGATTTTCGAATGGCGATGCAGTAGATATTTCCACTCGTAATACCATTAGAGGTTGAATTATTTCTGGAAATTTTTCCGAGCTCATGGATCTTTGAAAATTATTCCGAGTCAAAGACGATGTCATCATCAAAGGTCGGTGGTGTTGATCACACTGTTTGAGGAAACTTCCTTACGTTTTATCACCAAATTTGAACGTCACTTTGACGTCATTTCGACGTCACCGTTGGGTGAGTGACTGACGTCAATAAACGTGAGTAATATAACGTCATTGGGCTGTGACTTATTCATGCGTCATTCGTCACGTCTTACGACGTCAACTCCTGATGTCACCCTGGTCATACAAACTAACGTAAGAAGACATCACTGAAACGTCATCTGATGGTTGCCTGGGCAGATGGCTACAAGCCGAAGGAATATGAAATTTGGCTGTTATCTCACAGTCGTCAAAACGATACAGTGTATAACTCGCAAGAGATGCAAATTTTTTACTCGAATGATTGCAGCATTCGTTCATTCTCGTGAGAAATCGCTATCATTCCATTCTCGTTGAACAAATATACTAAATCTTCAGTATTTCTCAGAATATTGACGTTTGGTTCTGATAGTTGTTCTCTCAGTTGTTCTGATTGATTTCTGAATGATTTTTTTGTCGATTGTTGATAGTAGGTATTGTAGGTATAGGAATGGGAGATTGCACTAAATCACCTATTATCATTTCCAGTAAAAAAAATGCCCTTGAAACCCTCCATTGATTTCTTCTATACATTATTCCTGAATCATGACTCATTCAATTAGAGAAAAGCAAGAAATACTAATGTTTCGATTGAAAATAGGAAATCAGAACGCATTGGCTGCAAGACGGGCCTATACGAATTGTGTTTTCTGATTGGTTTCATTCCACAAAGCGAACCATCAAAACCATTTATCTGAAGCTTAGATGAACTTCTGATTCAAAAGGAAGAAAGATGACGACGTTTGGGTATGACGAAAATCATGAATCAGAATTCGAAACAATCATTGAGGTATTTGGCAAAAGAATTTAGTGCACGTTTAGGACCACATATAAAATTAAGAGAGACTTTTCATAAGGTTCACGTCGATAATTTTCTGATTTGAATATAATGTAATATCTCTTCAATATTGATTCATTCTATTGCCTGTCTTATACACGGGAAAGATATTTGTCTCCGCCTGTGCTACGCGTGGGGAGGCGACACAATCTAGAGTTAAAATCTACTCCTCTTCTGCCTTTTATAATGAATAACTAAATTTGTTCTTGTTGATATTCAGAAATTCCTATATGTTGGTGATATTCCGATTCCTGAGGATATTGAACAATATGAAGAATGAAGATGCAGAAGGTATAGTTACAGATCAGAATAGAGTCAAATTAGAAGTTTTTCTTTATTGTTTCTGTATCTCTTTCGGGTATATTCTTCTGTGATTTTTTTGACGTTTTATCTCACTTTGTATCACGTTTGAATGAAACAAGATTGAAAAGTAGAAATTAATTTTGTTTCAGTCGAGTGATGGCCATTTTCCACTAGTTGAAAAGTAAATGGCGAATATTTTTCTGAATATTTTTGTGGACATTGCAATGCTCATTGATAAGATGTTTCTATAGAACAAACCAACAGTGAATGTATGTCTATGCATAGATGTCTATGTAATCTCAGAATAGGGTAATTTTGATGAAGAATAATGCATATATATCCTATTATAAAAAAAATGTATATTTAAAAATAGTATGAACAACAGTATCTACATAAAATTATCGTTTCAAAATATAAATTTTCAATAAAAAATTACAACGATTTTCAAACTTAACAATGGAAAATGCAACACAGCCAGATATGGTGACGCAAAATCTCAAGGTAGGAAACATTAAGTATTTATTCCATAGTTATTATTAGGTCTTCTGCTTCAATCTTCATGCCCATTGTAGCATCGATACTAGCCACGATACCAGCCACAGGACTTTGCACAACAGTTTCCATCTTCATAGCAGAGAGAATTAGTAGAGGGTGGCCTTTTTCAACTCTATCGCCCACTTTCACCCTAATATCGATAACGGTACCAGGCATCGGTGCTCCTACATGCTTTTTGTTAGTCTTATCGGCCTTAGGATGATAAGCGATGTCTTTCTCAGCGTCTTTGTCTCTTATCAAAACAGACCGTAGTGTTCCGTTCAGTTCGAAGAAGACTTCTCTTTCTCCGTTCTCCGTCAGATCTTCAGCGACAGCTAGAGTCTTGATTCCCAAAGTTTTACCTCTCTCGATAGTCACATCGAACTCTTCGCCCACTTTCGGACCCACCAAGAATATCCTGGTGTCCAATTTGTCCACAGGCCCATACTTCTCGTTGAACACGAGATATTCTTTCGTGACCTGCGGGTAGAGAGCTGCGGACATGACGTCTCTATCAGTGGCTGATGGGAAGGTCTCTCTCAGATCTACAGCGAGTTGGTTGAAATCCAACGGAGGTAAGCTCTCTCCCGGCCTGCCTTCTATTCTGGGCATGTCCCGGAGAATCTTGGATCTGAGGGGTTCCGGGAAGCCTCCATAGGGTTGTCCGATGTGGCCTTGGAGGTATTCGACGACTGATTTCGGGAAAGACAACTCTTCGGCCTTGGCGAGAACTTGCTCTGACGTCAGTTTGTTCTGGACCATGAATTGGGCCAGGTCACCTACCACTTTGGAGGAGGGGGTTACTTTGATGATGTCTCCTAGAAGGATGTTGGCTTCGCCGTAGGCTTTTTTCACGTCTTCAAAGAAATCTCCTAGACCTGAAAAATAATTGATTTATTGCTCAATGACTTATTACCCAATAAACACACACACGTGTAATATACGTTTATGTATAGTAGTGGATGTTGATTAAACGTTACTCGTTGAATTTCGCAACGTTACTTTCGTAACGTATATTCAACCAAACGTTGATTCAACTTATAATAAACGATAATGATTCAACTCGTCTATATAGCCACCTGTATGCAACGTGTCATCATCGTGATTCCTCATCGTATATTCAGTGAGGTTCATAGAACATCGAAATAACGTCGAGTATGATATTGTTCAGCAACCTGAATCTTTGAGCAACCTCTTTATCACGTTTCAATTACGTACTTTTTTTTACGTTCATTCCACGTTCCAAAATCACGTAAAAAGTCTGTTGAATCAATTATTCAATAACAACTATATTTTTAAGCAACCTATATTTCACGTTTCAATTACTACTCTGTTTCACGTTCATTAAACGTTTTGAGATCACGTGTATGACCCGTTGATTAATTTTTCAATAGCAACTATATCTTTGAGCAACCTTTATTCCCCGTTTCAATCACTACTTTCTTCGCGTTTATTAAACGTTATGAAATTACGTGAATGATCCGTTTAATGGATTATTCAATGATAACTTCATCTTCGGGCAATCTATAATGTTCCAGTTTTGAATTGATAGATACTTTTTTACGTTCATTAAACATTTTGAAATTACGTGTATGATACGGTGAATGAATTATTCCATAGCAACTATATCTTCAAGAAACCGTTATTCCACGTTTCATGCACTTTTTTCTTCACGTTCATTAAACGTTATGAAATTACGTGTACGATCCGTTGAATGAATTATTGGATAACAACTATATCTTCGAGCGACCTTAATACCACGTTCTATAATTACAACTTTTTTAACGTTTATTAAACGTTCTGAAAATACGTGTTCGATCCGTTGGATGAATTATTCAAAAGAATTCGTATTGAATGAACCTGACCTATCGGCAGTCCGCCACCGCCACTCGCCAGTATGCTCACAGTTCGTCTGACGCGATTAAGGTTAACAGTTTATTGTGATTCTTCAGAGGTTGTGCGTGGATGTGAGAAGATATGAGATTGGTAAGTACCCACTTTATTATTGAATTCTACCTATGTATTGTGCAAGTTCCGAATATTTCCAATGGTCATATCTTGAAGACGATTGCAAGGATGATCAATTTGAAGCAAAATGAGTACATTCACCTATCAAAAGTTATACCTACTTATTCGATTATGTCATGTCGGAATGTTCACAAACTCCCATGCAGTAGGTACTTGATCCAACTTGCACAAATTTATATCATGGAGTTTTGATTATATTTCATAGTTATAAATTCTCGGTCGAGAAAAATCACATCTCATTTGGAGTCGTTTTGTCTAACCACCTCTTATAACGGTGATGAAACGTGTATAGAAGGTAGATGAAACACTTCTTGAATGCGTTGATGAAATAAAGGTTGGAAAATGGTTGAAAACCGGTACTCAATATTCAGGAACATTGATAGGAATGATGAGACAGACATTTCATAAATAATTATCATTGATTCTCCAGAATTTGTTTCGATCACAAATGAGCCGAAATTTCAGATAACAAAATTGAAGTCAAATTGCTGGCAATTCTCCAGAGGAACATACATGGAGGATTTTGAGAACCAATGAGCTAGTTCGTCTTTACAAATAAAAAGGCAAAGGAAAAGTGGCTGCACTCAAGGACACAAAGGTGATCCAACTAATTTATGGTATGTAAATTTCTTTTTTCGTTTCTCATTATATTCATATTGAATAATTTATGCAGTTGCTGTCGAAAGGAAGTTTGAAGCAGCAACTGATGTCCATATTGCAGATGCAACCAAGGACTGGTTGAAGTTTGCGAAGACACGGATGAATGACGCCATCAAGTCTCGAGTCGAAAACAAAATAGTGATACCTATAGATAGATAGATAGATCAGTTTATTTCCTTCAAATGACAAATTACAGATTTGTATTGTATTGAGATTCCATTGATATCTAGGATCTAGGACTATACACATTATGAATCTTGTATTTGTATTTTGGTTATTTTTATTATTTTTAATCAATTTGCGATGATAATAGAGATTGATCCGTAGTGAAAATGGAAACGTTACTTCACCTAATGTCTCAGAAACGTTTTAGTTACGTTTAAAATTGGTACCCAGATAGCACAAATTCCTTTTGAGGCCCTTCTGAGGCGTTCACAATCATGTCCTCAGGACGTCGAGAGCGAGCCTGAGGACATTCTCAAGACGTCCTCCTGTTACCATTCTCTACATACTAATAACGTCTCAGAACATCTCTAAAAAATCTTTTGAGACAACCTCAGGACATCATGGTAACAACTTGAGGCGTTTTTTGATGATGTTTCAAGGAGGTTCAAGATTTATGGGAGAATATTATTCATATACAGAATGAGTCACTATAGTGTGTTCTCCTCCGATATTAGCCAAACCGTCAGATATATAAAATGAAAATTCAAGTACAACAGTAATAGGGTTTCATAAGAACAATCACCTGAAGTTGTTTTCATATCTATAGGGTGTTCGAATTCCAAGATATCGGTTGATGATTGGTTTTTTTCAATGGAACACCTTGTATATTATTGCATTTTTGAGTTTTCCCTGAAGAGTTGATTCCATCAATGCATCACACTTGGTGTCTAGTGGGAATTATTACAGAGATATAGGGTGTTGACAATTGAGATTCTTCAAATGTAGGATTTTTTGTGTCGAAACTATTCATTTATGGTCAAAACAGCTCACATGTTCCTGTCATAACTTTTGATTAGCTATCTACTGATATTTATTTGGAACAGATACAATAAGCTGATCAGTATTCTGAATGTTAACCCACCCTCTATATTTGTTCCGATTGAATGTCAGTAGATAGTAAATCGAAAGTTTATAAGGATATGTGAGCCGTTTTGACCAATATTTTATAGTTTCCACAAAAAAAATCCTAAAATTGAAAAATCTTGTTTTTGAACACCCTATATCTCTGTAATCATTCCCGCTAGACCCCAAGTGTGATACATTGATGGAATCAGCTCTTCAGGGAGAACCTAAAAATGCAATAGTATACAGGGTGTCCCATTTGAAAAAAAAACAATCATAGGTCAATATATCTTGGAATTCGAACACCCTACAGATATATATGAAAACAATTTTATGTGAAAGTTCTCATGAAACCCTATTACTGTTGTACTTGAATTTTCTCTATTTATCTGATGGTTTGGCTAATATACAATAAGAATAACACACTATTGACTCACCTTGTATTATGCAAATGATAATTACTTCAAAATAATATGGGTCTCATGATATTTGCAAAATTTCCCTCTATTTATAATAGGTTCAAATGAAAAACCAAATGAAAAACTTACATTCTATTATATAACTTATTCTGAAAAATTTCGATTTCCTTTTCAAAGAAATGTATTTCAGCTTCTTGTTGAGCACTACTAGAAGTTATTGCCTATTGATAGTTATATTTCTCCATGTTGTTTTTGATTTCTGAAGTCTGGACATTCCTGATGCAGAATAATCAACTGGAAGTTGAAGCCTTCATGCAATATTTTATAGATTCTGAAGAAGCAAAACTATCTTGGAATGAAAATATCATCAGGTTTGTGTTTTGCATAACCTTCTGAAACAAACAATGTATTAATATTTCATGTCCGCCAGTACTTACTATCAATGATATGAATTATGTAGTTATAGGTACCAACCATTATTGAATCTACTGAAAGTTCAAGTCTGCATAATGTACAATCTTTCATAATTTCCAAAGAAGCCAAAATATCTTGGAATAAAATATCTCTGCTCTGATGATATCATCATTTTGTGTTATCAATAACCTCCTGAAACAAATAATGTACCTATTAATATTTCATGTTCCAGTCCCTACTGTATCAATGATTTGATTTAGGTACCTACCTTTATTGAATATACTGAAAGTGCAAACATGCATAGGCAATCTCACATAGATTTCAAAGAAGCCAAAATATCTTGGAATGAAACATCTCTGCTCTGATGACATCATCAATCTTGTGTTCTCAATAACTCCATCTGAAACAAATAATTAACCTATTAACATTTCATGTCCAGTACCTACTATATCAATGATTTGATTCAGGTACCTACCTTTATTGAATTCATACTGAAAGTTCAAGCTTCCATGCAATATTTTATAGATTCCCAAGAAGCAAAGCTATCTTGGAATAAAACATGTTTGCTATGATGATATCATCAAGTTTGTGTTCTCAATAACCTCCTGAAACAATAAATAATGTATATGAATGTATCAATATTTCATGTCCGGTACTATCAATGATTCTATTTAGTATTTACTCACCATTGTTTTTTGCTACCTGAGAGAAATGTCAACAACAGAGATTATCATCCTTTTGTTATTGTTATCTTTTAATTCTGTGCAATGAGTTCTTCTCGCAATCATTTTGTGAAATAGAAATTTGATGAAGGTATTCAATGAATACTCTAATAATTTTGATATAATCATTAATATATTATGATGTATCTTGAACAAATCATGACTATCATGAGACATAACCTCAAACCTCAATTCTAGTTCTTCTTTTTCTTCCTTTTGTCTTCGATGACACGTTATTTCATGGAATGTCATCTGCAGACGTCCGTAGGCACGAAATTCTTTACATCCTCAGGCTGTCACTGAAAGAACTCATTTAGGACATTTACAGCGCTAAATTTACGCCTGATGATGTTCTTAGGTTGTAGAAAATAGAACGTCCTCTCCAGGCGTTTGGCGACACATTGAGGATGACCTTAGGCGAGTGTGTGCTATCTGGGTAGTAATATCGATTTGACGATAAGATAAATCATCGTTGATTCAATCTAGAAGATCAACGTTACTTGAATTCTGCAATTTCACGTTTAATTCTAGAGTTAACATCAACGTTCAGAATTCGTATCTCAGCAACGTTACTTTGAAACCAAGTTTGAAACCAAAATACATCGTTATATTTAAATCGGTTGGAAACGTATAGAAAACGTTAAGAAACTGTTGATTTGAATGGTTACGTCGGAACTGAAATAAAACGGTATATATCAGTAGAATTCACATTACGTGTGCTACGTGTGCAACGTCTTAGTTACGATGAATCAACGTGAAGAGGTAACGTTACTGTAGAACCAGAATAAAACGTATTGCCTAACGACATTTTGCCGTTTTTTCAACGATGAATAATAGAAGCGTTACTTGAACAATTCAACGTTTTCTCCTCGTAGCTGTGTTTATTGGGTAGGTGGCCATTTTTCTCTAAGTGCAGTCGTGTGTTCGTAAAAATGGAAGAACCTTATGTTCATTCTGCCTCTCAATACCGATTACTTAGAAAGATCCCAGCTAACACAGAGTGATCCCAGACATATACGGGGGCATCACATTCATGCCACACATCACAACTAAGATGCCAAATGAAACTCAGAGTACGTATTAACCGACTCCTTATTCAACATCACAATCGATTAATTCCGTTTATCACATAAATAGACAAGAATATGAGGTTCCAGTGAGTCCCTTAGTTGTTAGGGATCCTTAAAAATTCACCTACATTTTAAGTCTCAAATCCAATGAAATGTGAAGAATACTGCGAATGTGTTGTGGAATGAAGAGTCCTCTGGCACTACCAATGATATTTTCTTGTAATTCGCTTTGTTACCTAGCGAGACATGAATGTTATATCCTAGGGATGTTTGTGTTTACTGGGATGGAACTAGCGTGGACAACCGATTGAGTAACTTGATGAATTATAAGATACAATGTGGAGATTAATGTTCGAGGAAACAATATCAAAGAAGGAGTATATTAACGTGTTCTAATATTGGGAGATTCAGGACTATATCGGCAACCCTATCAAGAAGCAGTTCGGTTTGGCGTGTTACAAAATAGCGAGAGTCAAATTCTCGATTCTAGTTCAACCAATGGACTGACTCAAAATATAAAAAGATCACGAGTAACTCCACCGGAAACTTATTCATTTTATTATATCAACACCATCCCGTCTTTACAAAGACATATGAACAATGAGAACAGTCACACAACCAGACTCTTGGCAAATCCAGAAGAAAAAAGATAAACATTTCCTGAGGTGAGTGACTTTCTGGGTTGCTGTTTCTTTCCTCATAGATCGAAACGTTCATTCATCTGAAGACTTCAATGAAACATTTGTGGTATCACAACGAATGAAGAACCCTTTATATCCTTATTGAAAGAACTGAAAACAAGTGTTCGTAATGATATCGAAGCCATGGTCAGAGAGTATTCTTTCGGAGTATTCTGCTAGAACTTACCCAAAGAATAGGCCTGGAACTGCAAGTTAGTATACTGCCCACCAGGTATCTCATTTCCATACACGTCAGCGTTGCCGCTCTTCATTGTTGTGGTGCACTCAAATGGCGCGTATAGGGTCCTCGTCTGCTCCCAGAAGGCTGAGTATTCCGATATTTTCGGCAAACTGAGACCTGTATCGAGTTCTGTACCCTGCAAACAAAACGCGGTAAAATGAATAGAATAGTCAGACGACTACCTTTTGTCTTTCCTGAGGGTGCATGTATCAATTGATCTATTGAATTTTGACGATCATTGGTCCAAAATTTTCTTTAGGAATCAATGAATTGCTATCCATACCAAACATCAGGGCAGAAATTATGGGAAGTGAAATTGGATATCAGTCAAAATCTCAACAAGTTTTGCAGGTGCGGGTTATAATCAGCAAAGTCGACTTCATAATCACAGGTGATAACTCGCTTGTCTCCTATGCTATTAGAGTTTCTTGCTGGGGTAATTCGATTTCTGACTATGGTTAATAGGAATTTTTCTCAGTGTATCCCGTTCGGAGTATCTCCAGACAACTCACCTGCAAGCTGGCAACAACGGCGCCCATGCTGGGCTGGCTGGTCAGGCCCGACATGGAGTCGACGGCAACGTCGACGACGTCGGCACCCGCTTCTGCGCATGCTAGCATCGCAGCGACGCCAGCGCCGCTCGTGTCGTGCGTGTGAATGTGGATGGGCAGCTCGGGATACTTGTCGCGCAGGGCAGTTACCAACAGTCTGGAAGCAATAGAAAGTCCACTAGAGTCAATATCCACTTTGGGACAGTGGCATAGCCAGAAATATATTTCAGGGGTGGACATACCTGATTCTGAGTGATTCGTAAGGAAGAATCAAAGAATAAGGGAGTCTAGGCTCATTTATTGGAAAACAAATAACAAATTGAGGAAGACAATGAAATGAAACAGAATTCTCCGATTGGTTAGGTGAATTATATTAATCATTTCAAGCAAACTCGGAAGAGACTATTGGATATAGCCCCCAGAAAGAGTTAACCGCATACACGTGTATCGGGCTTTCGGTCCTCATCAGTACGGTGAAAAAAGTGCTAAAGACAGGCAACACTTGGTGGAAGACGAAACAACAAATCGACTGAAACAGTTAACCGGATGTCACCACAAATGTGCGGCTGGATTCTGTTTGTTACCTCCGTCGATTTGTTGTTTCATCTTCCACCAAGTGTTGACTATCTTTGGCACTATTTTCACCGTACTGATGAGGACCGAAAGCCCGAAACACGTGTCTGCGACCTCTTTTTGAGGACCACGTCCAATAATCTCTTCCTAGTTTGCTTGAAACAGATCCTTCAATATTCCATCAATCTTAATAATTTCATCGGCATAGGTTTGAATATTACGAAGAATACTCCTTAGGGCTAAAATTGTACGCACATCTTCTTCTGGTATGCTTATGCAACTTGCAATTTACAACAGAAATGCGCACGCACTAAGCGCTAAGTGAGAGTGGGGAGTGGAAAGATGTTATAGGGCGTTGTGAAATAATATAACGGTTATCGTCGCTGTTGCCAGCGTTTTATAAATTTCCTAATGTGCGTAAGTACAATTTGGAAATGTTTGAATTCACTTGGATTACTTTCTCATCAACAGGCTACGTCACTGCTAAGGAATCAGGTTTGATTGAGAAGAAAGGAATTTACCAAGACCAGTCAAATCAATATAGGTACACAGGGTAATCTCTGAACTACAGATAGTAATCACGAAAATATTTAGATTCAAACCATCATGCGTTATGAAAATGTAGAGAAATAGGATGTTAGGAAAAAATCATATTTCAAATTTCTCCATTTGGTCGAACATTCACTCTGAAATTCTGTTTGTTGTTGATGGTGTTGTTGGTGATAGTCGTTATTGATTACTGTCTTCTTTCCACAGTCACTTCACTAATTTTATAATTTGAAATAATATAGATATTATAAGTGAGAAATACATTTCTTCAAGAACGAATAACGCAAAACCGTTACAGCTAACTAATTTGAAAAAGAGTAAATTATTTATGTGAAATTGAACAGGCACTCAAAGTTTTTGACTTATTTTAATCGTCATTTGATGGACGAGGAAGATATTATGTCATTTCCCGGAGTAAGATATGCCACCAGCGCCCTCTATGGTCAATCACAAAATGAGTTACAAATTCGTGTTTCTCATGTCAGAAAACCTGAAACTACAAAATTTCATGTTCATGCAGTCGAAAATTACAATAAATTGAGTAATTTAAAAATCCAATCTTCCTCTTGAACACCCTGAATCTCCTTAATTAGGAACATTCTTATTGGGCATGTTAGGCTTCATCCTCATATTTTGGTGTTAATAATCTGTAGTTCAGAGATTGCCCAGTCTTAATGAGTCACCCTGTATATGTTCATCTTGAAGCACTCCACATTGAGGATACACTTGTGCATTGCTTTTGGGAGTCAGTTGAGATTTGACACAGTTATTAGCATTGAATAGGTGGAAGAGGTCCGTCGAGTTGCCATCACGATCACTTGATCTAACCCCTCTTCAGGCTTTTTCTTGCATTATGTAAAATACTGACAGTGAACTATCAGACATACCTCGTAATGTAACAGGAAGTGCACACATTATAACTTCAAATCTCGTCATCTTCTACCGGAAGAATCGAGGTAGAGATGTGAACTACAATAGCCTGTCTTTGTTCACTGTCTGTCAGAAGACCTACTTTATGTAGTTTTATATACCTACTTTATATGTGAATAAATAGTATTATTATTATCATTATTATTATTATCAATATTATAATAATAATAATTATTTTTTTCTGTGCCGGGAAAAAAGTTTGGCATTTCATCTCTGTTGGCAGGTCATGAAATGTCACTTTTCATTAATCACTTTTTTCCCGTGGGAAAAAAGTGAGTACTTTCTTCCCGGATATATATCACATATATTTACACTGTTGATGGCTTTTGTTGTGTTATAGTTCCGAAAAATGAGTCAATAATATCGTCTTCGAGAAAGAACTGCAAGTCCTTTTATCTTCCATTCAACTCCGCTGTTACGTATATTACTAAACAACCACTAAATTCGCAATTTTTTGAAATCAAAACACAGAATTAGACTGACAGAAGTGACATTAGATATTTGATTACTTCAAAAGAATAAAGATGCCTACAACGCAGGTGTCCCTACTGTTAAAAACTTAAAATTTCACGTCGATATAATTTTCAGATTTCAAAATAATGTAATATCTTCTTAATATTGATTCGTCCTTTCTTCTGTCACAGAAAAAAATAGTGTATTATACACGGGATAAATATTAGATTTTACCTCACGGTTTTTTGTCTCCCTCCGCTACGCGTCGGGAGACAACACAACCTGGAGCTAAAATCTACTACTTCTTTCCCTTGTATAATAAATAACTATATATAAATTGGTGCGATGCTTCAAGAAAGTGAATGAGTATTCAAAAAAACGTGTTACTGGCTTATTTTGGAGGAAGTCTATGAAGTCATCAAGGTCGTCTCTACTTGATTATCGTTAGGTTCAAGGGCCTGAAACGAAGCTAATCAATCGGCTTGTTTGGGTTTAATTCAATCCCAAGCGGGTCAGTATTTTTTTGAGAGAGCGATCTCTACGAAGAATTTTTTCGAGCACAAAATGTTATTGCCGTTCCTCAAATATTTCCTTTGTCGAGCGGCAATCTAGCAATCTATTGGTTTGAGATCTTGCATCTTTCTCTGTAAACCAAGTCCCGTATTGATTAATCATCTGCTTTGATCAAATCAATGATATTTGCGTCATATTTCAATAATCCCGACATCATTAAACGTTGGATATTTGTGATTTCGAGTACATGTTATATATACCGTTACAGCAACTATATTATGGCACAATACAGAAGCTATTCATATGTTATATAAGCGAAAACTTAACTAAATGAATTGTTCTTTGTTCTATTGGTCATCAACGAGAAAGTTTCATTATTTTGAGAAACCACTAGGAATGTAGGTTTCCATGATATGAATGAGTTTTGTTGTTCGATATGATCACTTGACAAACTGTTAATCTATAGATATGAGTGAGATAGAAAAGAATATTAACCTTCCAGCCTTTGGTTTGAGCAATCCAGCCATATCTTTGATGGCCAGTACGTGTGTTCCAGCTTTGACAAGTTCATCGGCAATTTTCAGATAGTAATTGAGATCGTATTTCTTCTTTTTGGGATCGCTGACGTCACCAGAGTAGGCGATGACGGCTTCTACGATTCCGCCAGCTTTCCCTGCGGCGTCCATACCAACGATCAAATTCGGCAGGTAGTTCAGGGAGTCGAAAACCCTGAAGACATCCATACCAGTTTGAACCTAGAAGACGAATTAATAGTTCAAAATAAATAGTTTATCAATCATCATTTCAGATGATTAGGCATCAATGAGGTTTTTATAATCGGAAACCAGAAAGCATCGTTTATGATACTGATTGCATGAACAATAATTCAAAACATTAATATTTGTGGTGAGTAAGCGTCAATTCAAAATTAGATTAGATAGATAGGTAGTCAAAAACTTCCATTGATCATGAGGGCAACAACCAACTTCAACCTCAGTAGTATCTCGTTCATTACATATTAGTTCTTCTTTCTACAACCATACACCTTCAATATGGTATTTTTTCATTGTTCTAGTTTCCCACGGAAAGGAATATCCTGTAATGTTCAGAGAACATCGTGAGAACCAAGGGATATAAGGTGGGAATTGGTGTTCTTCTTGAATTCCTGGAGGTTATTTGCCTCGAGGAACACCTTCCTTGGCAATGTGTTCCAGAGCCTCGCTGTTCGTTAGATGAACGAGTCTTTGGAAAGAGAAGTTCTGCGGGTCTCCAAAGTGACCACGACGGGGAGCGGAGCCTCAACTCGACGAATCAATCTCGCGGGGACTGTCATGGGAGGAACAATTGTTGATATTTCAGAAGAGCATCGTCCATGAAGATATCTATAAAGTAGAACCAGATCGCCAACTTTTCTTCGGTATTCCAGAAAAGTGAGAGAATTTGTGAGCGATGCATCGCCCACGAGACGAATTGCCCTTTTTTGAACAGAATCCAACTGTTTCAGGGTATGTTTGGCTGCTGCACTCCAAATATGGGAACAGAATTCCAGGACAGGTCGGATCTGTGCCTTATAGGTCATAAGCAGCTAACTGGAAGTGAAAAAGTTCCTGGTCCAAAACAGAAAACCAAGTTTTAGGGATGCACTTTTAGCAATTGATCTCACGTGATTTTCCCAAGAAAGTTTATTGCTGATAGTAATACCAAGCATCGAAATGCGGATGTCTCCAAAGGTATGGTTACTCCTGACAAGCTTATGTTGGGCACAGTGAGATCAGCTTTTCTTGGGAAGAGGCATGCTTGTGTTTTGTTTGCATATTGAAATCAACCAAGTTATTGGATCTCCATTCGAAGATTGATGACAAGTCCATATTCATGTTGTCAACATTTCTCCCTCGTTCGTTCCTGATTTGCCTGGCTGGTATTGGAACCCTGGAAGAGAAGGCGGTATGGAGGGTACTATCATCCGGGAAGCTGTGTACTGGACATGAAGTTGCTTCCAACAAATCGTTGATATGGAGTAGAAATAGTGTTGATGCTAGAATTGGTCCTTGCGGAACACCAGCATTTATAATAAGAGAGTCAGATGAAACTCCGTCGACCACTACATGGAGAACCCTGTTTGAGAGAAAACTAGCTAGCAGAGAACATATGGCTGGGGAGGCAAGCCATAAGATGGAAGCTTGGCAAGGAGTCCACCGATTCTTGAATTGAATGTGAATTTGTGCTGATTCACCCCTGTACAAGGGATACTGTTTGTGTTCATGAGATACAGGGTGATTTTGAAAATTCATACGTTTCGAACCACCCCTATCTCTACGAGGTTCCTCGGTGATAATGTCAAATTGAAAATCATATTCCATTGAGGATTTTACTCAGAATCCAGTGGCGCACACAAATTTTTATTCGGGGTATGAATTATAGTTTGTTGTCTTTGTCTGAATTTTATTCCACTGATCTGAATTGCAATATTTGGCGCTTTCCAAATCAGAACTGAAAAGAGCGTGGTTGTGGAAAATATGCAGGTTACTACTCCCAGTCACCTACCGCTAATTCACAAAATTTGAAGACGACGTTATCCGGATAGTTGGTGTACCCGACAGCATTAGCACCTCTCAGTAACATCTGGAAGGGAATGTTGGGGATGAGTTTCCTCATCTCCTCTAGCCTCTCCCACGGGCATTCGTGGAGGAAGCGTAGAGCTACGTCGAAAGTGGCGCCACCCCAGTTCTCCAAGGAGTACAGTTGGCTGAAGTTGTGGGTAACGAAGGGGGAGATCTTCAGGAGGTCGTGAGTCCTAAAAATCGCAAAAATATTCATCTGCAAACAAAATAATCAAATTGTGTAATCTCTCCATCTCGTGTTCTCCTCGGTCTCTCAAAAATGATATGTTAGATGTTAGGATGTTAAGTAGGAAGCTGTGGTTCTTGTCTCACAATCGTTTATCTACCTCAACAAACAAGATTGTGTGATGTTTTGGTGTGGATAGATTGTAGATTAGTAACAGAGGCCGTCAGCTAATCAACTTTTCAGAACTTCTGGAATCTTCTGATCGATCTCTTTACCTCTAGTTCGAACATAGGGATTCAAAATTCATTCCATATAGTTCATGGTTGTTGATATCGCTAGTCTCAGCCTTCACTTCATCGGGTGTAAAACAAGTTTTTGTATGTATAAATAGTAGTGAAGATTTTCATAAGCATAGGCCTCACAACTGCATAATATACCTACTAATAGTTTGGAGGTTTCATCTTCCAAGCTACACAGTCTACGAGATGAATTGTCAGATATGCCTATTTCATAATTCTGGCATATTTAGAAGCATTTATCTCTTCCAAATATTATTGCAGAAGAGCATAATGGTCATTACACCTAGCAACAATAATTATTCGTATCTGAATTTCTTGCAAAATTCATGTAAGACCATTATTATTATCTGAAAATCGCTGAATCTGGTGTATACGAATAATGTAAATATGAATTTGCTCCAGATGATCCTCTTGGCAAGCAGAGAAAACATAAATGGCTTCGAACAAGATGGCACAGTCAGCATAAAATGTCGATACAGGTCTCACAAGAAGTTTGTCCATATATCGTCAAGTTTTTCAACAGACATTATTGCTTCATATTTTTTTATCTCTGCTTATACCTGAAGTCAAGCTCAGATGATTTCTCGCCATGAAGAAGAGGAAATAGATATTGGTTTGAACAACATGACACATTCAACATGTCCTTGCTCGTGTGTAGTCAGGGTTTTCAATAGATATTATCTATCTATCTATTATTCTATCTATTATTGCTTCCGCTTTTTTTCTCTGCTTATCTAATGACATTTTTTTCAATGTTCCCATTTCCACGAAAAGGGATATCCTGTAATGTTCAGAGAACATCGTGAGAACCAAGGAAAATAAGGTAGGAATTGATGTTCTTCTTCTTTGAAAGAAACCTTTACGCTGCTGGTCAAGCTATACTATCCGAATTGATCTACTAGTTTTCACGGTTTCGTAATTTACCTCACTCTAGTAGCCAAAAGCGATTGGTGGGCATCTCGGTAAGTGGTGTCCATGAGCAGCAAACCTTTGTGGTTCCTAACTGCTTTCGCGAAGGCTTCTGGTCCTTGTTGTTTGTAGATGTCACGGAAACCTCTGGGTGGTTGACAATCTTCAAGTAATTGAATATAAAGGCATATTCTTCGAGTTAGAATCAATACCAATAACGTTCTCGTGTAAACGGAAGGGCCATTTGAAATAAATAGTGGATGTGAAGTGGTGAAACTCAGATTGTCTTTAATAAACATGATTCAATATGGAAATATTCCTGTGTGGTAACAGCCACCTGAGGCGTTTTATATCAATGAATTCCGATTGAAATTCAAAGCTTATATTTATAACAAAAATTGTAAAGGTATGCAAGCTACAAAATATTTTTTTATCTTTATTCAGAAATACATAGAAAATCTAAAGGAATATGAATTGACTCCACTTCTGAGAAAATGTTGAGTAATCTAGTGACCTGAATTTCATTCATGAATGATACGAATTACGAAGTGCTCATCTATTGAAGAATCATGATTTCAAGCTTATTATTCACCATCCGTTTACACTGAGAAGATATCAGTAGAGATCAATGTGAAAATGAGGAGATATAGTCAATATCAGGATCATGCAAATGACACGGACCTTTTTTTTTTGTTTCATCCCTTATAAGTGGAAAGCGTGTGATTGTTGAAAGCATGATAGAGTTTTGAATGAAAAGTTATGAAATGCCCCCATAGGTGAAATATTGAAAGCATACTGGATGCATCAAATTGAGATTAAAGGTTTTCTTCAATACAATGTTAGCCAGAAGTCAAAAGCGGTAGATAAGAACTTTCACATATTACGTAATAATATCGATACGAAAAATATCTAAGTGAGAGTATTGCTTCATCCCTGACATTCCTCATGAACTTCTTGATTTGAAATAGGAGCCCCTGTTCATATTTCTGAAATTTTGGGATTTTTTCTCGTCTCCTATTTCAATATCCTTCTAGGGATTCTGATTTGGGGCAAATCAGATGATTATCCCCCAAATGTCATTGCGCTCGAGATTTCACTATTACAAACCTGGAAGAGAATATTAATCAAGAAGAGTCAGTGACCCTTTGACAAATTTTTGAAAAAGAATATCAATATTTTTGTATAGACATGAACGAGGAATTGATATATTATTTCATATCGATAAAGACGTATTACGTAACCATTATTCGTGTAATCAGATCCTTCAATGGAGTTATGATCGTGTTAGCCCACAGATGGAATGGAGGAACCTACTGAACATTTTGATGAGTAGCTACTATTGAGACTTGATACAAGGTTGAGAGTTTGACAAATAAATCATTTCATCTTGCCAACTCAATTGTATATTATTTATGTAATATGACAATCACAATCACTCTCAAATTATTGAAAGGTTCAACCATTACGTACCTAATATCTCGATCCCGAAATCATAATCTCAAGAGCTGATGACTATTACCTGATTCACCTGTAGGTAGTAGGTACTATATGAATCCGGTTTTCCTTGAAGCCCATACAGTAGATGATCGATATAAATATGCGAAATTATGGTGAACTCACTGAGTAGATTTATATGTGTTTTTGAACCATAGCATGCAAATTTGCTATTGAATAATTTGAAGAGCACATTGAAAAATTGTTTGAATATAGGAACATGAAGAAAAATGGATACATAATAAAGAGATACATTTAGAAATCGCATTATCTATATCTGATGAAAATATGAATTCTTTATCGGTATGTTCAAGAGAAAAACAATTAGGTACTTTCCTAGGGATATGCCACGACGACAATTGAATAACATTTAAAGAACAAACACAAAAAGATTTTGAAAATAAAAATCTCCTCAAGTTGATTGGGGTTTCCCAATTCAGAATTTCTTCTACGCTCTGTATCAATATTATAATAGAATGATTCATGCCTGCGATATTTGGTGAATATGTGAAATAAAATCTATTTAAGACTATATATATCATCATCAACCAACAACAAATTTATCGTAGGAAAAGAATAAATGGATAAATAAACTTGAAGAACAATATTTAGTTGTCAGATTCAGATATGGTATATAAATTAAATTCAAGCAAATCGATTTTCGCCCCACTATAATTTTGTTGTCGATGTGATTTATTACGAAGGAATTCCAAAGGATTATACTAACTTGGATTTTTATGCCGATCGTCTGCCAGGTATTCTGTGTAAAACAAAAAAATAAAAACAAAACCATGCAGAATACCAAACATAAAAAAAATCGAAACTAAATCTACAACTTGTTAAAAACAAATCAAGCTGAACTAGATTCAAAAAAAATATGGTTTTATTCATTTTCTATTTTTGCTACAATACTTCTACTGAAGCATATATACCGATACCATCACCAATGAATTTTTGTGAAGAACCAGTGGTGAAGTGAAATAGTGATTTATTTACAGTAATGAATAGGAGATACCTCACCAGAAGTATAAGCTAATATTTATATTCACTAGGTGATTATATATTCATTCAACAATATCTAGATATTATACAGGGTGATCCAGAGCTCCCAGTCCAGCATATATATCTGGGTCATTATCTCACATGAAAAATTCAAGAAACATTTATGGCGTACATAGGATCGCAATATTTCCAACATAGTAACCCAAATCAAATTTCTGTCAAAAAAGCCATACTGAAAACCACCATTCATTTTGGTTCTTCAAATTTCGTTCATCCAATAATATATCACTATAGATATTGAAATTCAAATTGAGGAATTTCAAGTAATTTCAATGAACATTGAAAGGACTGTTTTTAATTTTTTCTTGAAAGATTGTTCGAAGAGGGCATAAGGAGCTGATTTATTATTCAGATAATATGAATTACTTTATCAAGGTAAGTATATTGTTGAATCGAAAATGAAATCACTACAAGATGACAAATCAAAGATCTAGTTGGTGTCTTGTGAAGAATTTGACAGAAAGTTGAATTGATTCCACTATTTTGAAGAGCTTATGATTCTCATATACCTTCCACTTACCTATACTGATAACTGGCCTGTAAGCTACGGAATACCCTGTACATTGAGTGTAAGGCAAAAAAAACAGATAATACTTTGCAAAAATCTGGATATTTATTTTTTGACAAAATTTCTAGTTTCTTGGAGCAGTTTATTTGTTAAATCAAACAAGAACATTAGGAAATCTACAAATCCAAATGCTGAGGCCTTTTCTGCGTGTCATATATGCGAGTCAGGGAATACCTCAATGGGAATCAAGTTGATGTGTATGGTATAATTGGTAACAGTGGTGGATGAAAATGTCGTTTCATATTGTTTTTATAGGCATACATTTTATATAGGAATTGACTAGATGTAAATCCCACTGTATAGGCATGTATCGTGGCGTTTTATACATTAGTAGTTTTCATGTTTGATCAGACTAAGAAGGTCCCAGTAAAGTTAAGCTACCATATATACCATTTATTTATACTTTTGAACTGAAATCGAATGAGGAAGAAGTGGATAAATTAGGAAACAATGGGAACATTTTTATTTTGCATTCACTCTCCTGGTGAAATGTACTGTTGGTCGACCTTCTACCAAAAAATAACTGCGTTCATTAATATAAATTCATATAACACCTCTTGTAGTGATGCGGCTTATGCAGAAGATAAAGAGAATATTCACATTCTTTATAGGCTACCAGGAAGGATATGGTTCTGAATGATGCTATCATCATGCAAGAAACATACATCCAGTGGCCTTTCAATCAACCGGATTTGCTCCAATAAACGGAAACAATGAAACGGTGATTCTCGCTAATGGTCACAATACTCCACTGAACATAACCAAATTTTTCCATTTTTCCACCATACACAAGAACGTACGACCCAATGAGGATCTAAACGTTGTAGAAACGTTTAGAAATACTTGAATAAGGAACCGTTCAAATAGATAGAATTTTCGCGATAAAGTTTTATTTAAGAAAGTAAATTATATCAGAATTGAACGGAATTGTTTATCATCATATCAATATATTATGAACATGGTGATGAAGGCATTGTTGAACTGTAACGAATTTATAACGTTGATTCAATATGAACATTTGCCCATCAGGCATTGGATGATTTCGTGGCGCTGGTCTGACATACAGAAAATGACTCCAGTATTTGCTAAACAGGGTGTCTCAGCATTAAGTTGTCTAACTCCGACAATTATAAGAAAATGAAAATACTATTATCAACTTATTTTCTTCTCATGTTGTGAAGAAACAGGTTTTCAATATACCAGATGTTGAAATTCGTGTGTATTTTTGCTATATTGAATGTAATGTTTTATTGATATATTCGATATCGCACTCTTCTGAATTACCAATTGGGTGTACCACTGGTGGACTCAATTCGTCACACGTTACTTTGTGTTAATCCCTAGGAACGCACGATGTTCTTTGAACATTATAGGGATTCCCTTTCGTGCGCTCCAAGCGATAAAAAAAATCATACCTATATCACAGATCTATATTACTGATTATGGAATCCGAAAGTCTGTGATGGCCGGGGTTTGGCAAGGTTGGTGTAAATATATGATAAACTCACGTCATTAACATTGATGAAGAATGGTGAAATAACATGTACAGGGTGGGCCGAATTGGGCACTTTTTGAAAAGTGGCAAAAACTCTTTTTTTTTCAAAAATTCTTCGTTCTAATGGAAATATTTTCGGATCATTGTGTTTGTCATGAAAATTGATCCACTAAAATCAGTGACCGCATAGCTAGAACTTTTCTTTCAAGAAGGACAAGTTTATTCTTGAACTAGATATAGGAAGGCCGATTCCAGTGTCTCGAGAACAATTTTTATCACAAACCCATTGCTTTGCAGTTTTTTTCATAGGAACAAAAAATGCCCATTTTCGAAAACCACCTTGTAACTCCAAAACGAAGACAGATATCGATATGTGGATTTCACCATTGAGTGTTTCATGAGAATCGACCATCAGGTACAAAACTTTATCAACTGCCTTACACACCACGCGAACCTAGCAAGTTACTTCAAAAAGTTGCTAATTCGGCATCCCCCACACCCCACGTGCTATGATGAAGGGTTTCGATTTTCAAGAAATTCCTAAAAGTGCCAATATCTCCAAAACTGTCAATATTTTACTGAGGTTATATTGGGATTTTCTGGTGAGACATGAGCTGGCCTCCAATGGATGACGTTGAGTTTTGATACACCCTATATTAGATTTCTAATTTTTCTAGCTCTTGTCAAAATTAGACAGTCAGACTTCAGACACCCTGTATATAAAACATCAAACGAACTCTGAGCTGATGACAGTCAAGACGTCTATTTCCAGCGTGAACACGATTCGAGCGATGCGTGCGATGCGGTGCGTGCGATGCGATGCGTGCGATGCGGTGCGTGCCATGCGGTGCGTGCGATGCAGTGCACGTCTGCGATTAAATCATTGTATTTATCAATTGCACTGACACGGTATAGCACTGCACTGACTTCAGATAGAACTCGTTTCGTTCGAACTAATCTAGAGCAGATGCATGTGGATAATTCGAATTATTCTGGCACTGTATGGATGAAGTTCAATATTGACATTATGAATATTCGACTGGTATGTTCAGAACAACGTGCAGTTGAATCCTGAGTCTAGATCAAACTAGATCTAATCAAATATCTCAATTCAAAATTGACAAATTGTCGAAATATTCCATAAATTTCGAGGTATGGAGAGAATAATTATTTGCGGCATAATGAGTATAGAAATATTATTGTGAATAATCAGAGGTTTCAATGGTGTATAGTAGATATAATGCAATTTTGTCATTCACTACAAAATACCTCGTATTCTAATATTTTGTTGCAATTTATGGGTATCAATAATTTTCTGCTTTTCTGTTTCATCATACTTCGATTTTATCAATTCAGAAATATCATTATTGCTATCGACTAAAAGCTACTATCACTGTTGCTCGACAATAGGGAATTAATCTCTGGAATGAAAAAAATCCATGGTAGAAAGACCGGCACGTGGTTGACAGAGAATGGAATGAGGTGGCGAGAAACACAGGATTTGAATGTACAAGCCTTGATGTTTTTTAGTTTTATCTAAAATGATTGTTTACAGCTGTATTAGGTCGAACTTTTTTTCTAGATCTACTATCCTCGCAATATAGGATTAGCAGAAAAATATCGTGTGAAAATTTGTCAAGCTTCTAGTGCTTTCTTTGCAGGGCGATTATTAGATCTTGATGCATTCGAATTGAAGCTCAGTAAAATGGTAACGATTTGGACCCAATCTGGGAAAAAATTCAAATTATCGGTTTCTCTGTAGTTTCATATGTTATTGAAAGTGCTCTATTCGAAACTGAATTCTACAAACGAAATTCACTGGAGCGTTCCGAGATATTAGCAAAAAACAGTTGAATTTTTGCACTTTTTCCGGTTTTTTACCTGTAACTCGGAAATCATACCTTATATCGAGAAGATCGCCCTATAAACAGTTGAAGAAAATAGGATTTCCTAGATAAATATGTTTAGCACTTTCATCGTACGTGTTTTACGGGCAAATACAAAAATGTTTGGATTTTAAACAAGGCGTGCGTTGCGAGTTCTCGAAATCGCCCAATACAATGGGTTGATCGCAGACGCATCGCACGCGCCGCATCGCACGCACCACATTGCACGCCCCGCATCGCACGCATCGCTCGAATCGTGTTCTGGACATAGTGATAGAGTCATACTCACCCGAGCAATAGTGATAGTAGCTTTCAGTCGATAGCAATAATGATATTTCTGAATTCATAAAATCTAAGTAGGATGAAACAGGAAAGCAGAAAATTATTGATACCCAGAAATTTCAATAAAATATTATAATACGAGGTTTTTTGTAGTAAATGACAAAATTGCATTATACCTACTATACACTATTGAAACCTCTGATTATTCACAAGAATATTTCTATACTTATTATGTCGCAACACATCATTCTCTCCATACCTCTAAATTTAAGAAATACTTTGACAATTTGTCAATTTTGAATTGAGATATTTGATTAGATCTAGCTTGATCCAGACTTAGGATCCAACAGCACGTTGTTCTGAACATACCAGTCGAATATTCATAATGTCAATAGTGAACTTCATCCATACAATGCCAGAATGATTCGAATTATCCACATGCATCTGCTCTAGATTAGTTCGAACGAAACAAATTCTGTCTGAAATCAGTGCAGTGCTAAATACGCATCTATATCGTGTCAGTGCAATCCAGTCGAATACGCTATTAATATGAATAAAATGCTATTCCGCAGTTGATAAATACATTGATTCAATCGCACCGCATCGCACGCACCGCATCGCACGTACCGCATCTCACGCACCGCATTGCACGCACCGCATCGCACGCATCGCTCGAATCGTTATCTGGACATAGCATTACATCATACTTACCCCGCGAGACATCAGGAACGTGGGGCTTGACCTCAGCCGGCTTGAGGCTGGTGGCCAGAGGGGTCTGTGGCCCATTAACCAGCACCTCCCCCATATAGTTCAGCAGCTTCTGCGCCCTGTTTTTGGTGGGCGCGAAGTGGAACAGCTGTGGGTTCTCGTCGATGAAGTACGTGTCGACGGAACCGTTAAGGAACTTCTGGTTCTCGAGGACGTTCAGCAGGAACGGAATGTTCGTTTTGACTCCCCTTACACGGAACTCTCGCAAGGCCCTGTAATCATATAAATATTTCCGAAATTCCATCGATATTATCGATAGTATATCGCGGATATGGGCTATTTTACCCATCACATAATCTGACCAATCACAAGCCAGAACAACCTGTACTTATCGCGAAAACATTATATAGCTGTCTTTCAATTCTGATTGGTTTATTAGCGTTGATGTTTTCAACGATGTTACCATTGATAGCGAAGCAAAGTCTGTCAGTTTGATATACACTAATTTTGGCTGAACTTGTCATCAATATATGGATTCCTAATGTTTTGTGTAGTCTTGTGTCACTGTTATCATTGCCTCAAACTCGCCAAAACAATTTTTGACGCATTTCCTGAGAGTGTCTATAATCTGAGTATCGAATGAAACGTTCGCAGCTTGATGTAAAATAAGTTAGACTGGAATAGCAAATTTTTAGATACCTGATTTTTCATTGATTTTAATCTCAGAGGCGGCTCAAGTACATATCATCACTTCAATTTGGAGTTTGATAATGATTCGATAATTCATCTATTTCACGTCATAGACATAAAGTAGGTATTCAACTTGAGCCGCCTCTGAGATAAAAATCATTGAAGGATTAGGATTAGGTATCTATAGAGTGCTATTTCAGTCTCACTCATTTTACATCGAGCTGCGATCGTTTTATTCGATACTCAGATTTTAGACTTTCTTCAAGTCAAAGTATCGTGAGAATGTTCAACATCCTTCAAGAAACACCTTTGAGATCAATATATAAGCCCCACCCTTTCAATGTTCCGTCCTACCATCAGCCGCAAAGATTGCCCATCTGCCCGAGAAATGTTCATTTTTGGCCAGAATGAACCTTCATAAGAAAATACATAGGATTTTGGTCCAAAATCCCCATAGCTTATCTACTACCGTGACGTCATAACAAAATTAACCTGGTTTAAAGGAGAAGGTTCGGGCAAAAGTGACGAACATCTACTACTATAAAATAATCCGTCAATGTTCTCTTACTATCGCTTCCTTTACCTGTTCATTTTCGCACACGAGCTCTGCAGGTCCTTGGACTTGGCGATGACCTTGACCAGCAGCGAGTCATAGTAGGGGGAAATGATGGCGCCCGCGAAAGCAGAGGCCCCGTCCAGACGGATTCCCATTCCTTCTCCAGACCGGAAGACTTCAATACGGCCGGTGTCCGGTTGAAAGTTCTTTGCTGGGTCTTCTGTTGTCACACGACATTGGATGGCGTAACCCTAAACACATATGAATCAGGAGATGCCTTCGTCAGACGAAAGTGAGATACAAATATCAGTTTGCTAGCAGAAATATGGCCTCTACACATTTATGTGTCTCACCGTCTTTCAGTTATATTTGTTAATTTGAGTTTTCCGTGTTAAATCATGTACTGATGTTTTTAACGCCATATGCCTTAGTAGAATGTGCGTAATATCACGAAAAGAAGGAATTGTTGAATTAAGCTGAATTTAATTGAATGAAGCAAATGTAAGTGTCATATATGCACGACAAGATATAATCTTGAAATAAGTAAATATATATCTTGTTTCAGAGCGAATTTGAAGTTTGAATCAAGTAAATATGTCTTGCATGAACTCTGGATCTTATCCAATTAAGGACATCCACGAATGGTTCATGAAGAGATATCGAATTGGATTCAAAATAACAAGACATTGATTCGAGCAAATATTTAGTTGAACGCACGATGTTGTTTGAACATTATAGGGATTCCCTTTCGTGCGCTCCAAGCGATAAAAAAAAAATTCAATGGAATATTTTATTGATCCAATGAAATATTTCGATGATTCAAGAAAAGCTGTATTTCCATTCGACAAATTGATTTTTTGAACCGAATTCATTATTGATTCGGGAATTTTCTGAAATTTCACATTAATAGAATGAACCGAACTAGGAAACTAGCACAGATCACTAGTCCTAAACCTTTCTTCAGCTTTAGCAAAACTATTTCGGATTGCTAAGTATCCTAAGTTAGATTTATCCAGCTGATATTTCAACCACGAAAAATCAGTGATGTGTGTTTCATGATTATGGAGCAACAGTAGAACTGGATTTGCTTGAGTATACCGAGTGTTTTCGAATATGCCTCAATAACTGATTTTTCGGCAGAGCCTATTGCCCCAGGAACTGAACCATATATGAACTGCTCTTCCATACGTACACGAGGAAATACATATACTGGAGGAATTGTATTTCCCACCACAGAAATGAAGCCGCACATTGTAACTACCTAATACGCCCCTTTCAGCTGAAACGCACTTGCCCACCCTTTTTGTAGCTCTTTCAGCAATAACTTTAGGAGCCTGAAGAACGGTTGTGATTCCAGTTTCGTCGGTATTTCAAATGCGATTAGGAGGAGAAGTATATTTTTCTTGAACTTTTGCATAGTTCTTAAAGAACAAATCATCATTGTCTTTGTTGAAAGCTGATGCTCGCACAATGCTGGTATTTTCGGGCTTCTGGTAGGAGAATCTCGGGTGGTGACGACTCATGAATGATCGCATCCACTCCTTCCCACTTCCCAGCCATATTATTTTGTTTCCAAGTGTCTGAAGTTGTTTTACCCAACTCAATTGCACATAAACAGGCCAACTGTCGCGTAGACATTTGAGTTATACCCTAATATATTTCGGAAGATTACTTCAGGTACATTTCTAACTGCTATTCTTCTTTTGGAGAAAATATTTCACGAGTAGCATACTGCGATAGAGAAGGTGCATCCCCATCTGAACTATTGATTTCGTTTCCGAGTCATTTGAGTTTCGTTTCCTTTTTATTTTCACAAGTTGGTCATGGAGAATTGACTTCGGCATATCAAATGTGTTTGCAGTCATGCGAATCAACATCTAACGATTGAGCACAGCTTCAACAGCTTTTTTCAAATCATCTCTCGGAATACCAGGGCGAATTTTCATTTTAATATAGTTACGCACCGTCCGAGAAAGTGACATTGAGTTTTTTTTTCAACAGTATGATTCCGTTTGTTCTTGAATAGGGCACATTCGGACAGTCCGAAGCTGCCCCACTAGATTTGTCCAAACGTGTCCTATATTCTAAGAATAGGAACATGACGAACAGAAATTATACTTACATGGTTTATAAATGCCTTTTTTTGAGGTTATGTATCGCTGAACATAACAATATCAACGGTAAACAGGATTCAACTCATCTCTCTGGTGTTCAAAAGCTATGGAAGCTTACGATAGCTCTAGTTTTTTATTTCCCCGAATAAATAGAGTAAGAATCGCTAACCATTTACTATACATAAAACTAATAGTGTAGAAGGATATTGTTCTGTCAAGAAAGTGAGTTCCATGGTATTCATGTGCCCCACGTCCGAACCTGCCCTACTCTGCCCTACTCACCAACCTTGATTTACATACACCCATCAGTTGATATAATATGACAGTTAATACATCATATATGAAAAATTATCATCAGCAATTATAGATTACAGTGGAATTTTACAATATTTTCTTCATAGTAGTAAATGTATACAGTATTGTTTCTTCCTCTCCTCTGAAAGTTTGAAGTGTATTGACATTTGAGTGAAGAAATAGTTTGGAAATGCCACATGTGGAGATGAAAACCTCGAGGATTGGAGCACTGCAACGATGGTATCGATATAGTATCCATGAGAAAGAGGTGACTAACTATGGGTGGGTAAAATCATTCAAGATGAACGTGTTAATATTGTCTTTCAAATGATCGTGGAGTTTTATCAGTTTCAATTGATTTTCCAACTGTTACACAATATCGACAAGACACTTGCGTTAGATTTACTTGAAAATGTCGGAAATACCAAAGGAGTTGACGGTACCTATACGTGTTCAGGACCTTTGAATCATATCAATCAATCAACCGCATTATGTTTTTTCCATCAGAATGTAATAGATGAAGGGAAAACTTCGATGTTGGTAGTTACATAAATTACTTACTTGAGGTTCGATTTTCTCTTGGGAAATTCCTAATTCCGGCAACGTCATACCCTCAGCAATCCTGATCTGGGCCTGTACCAAATCTATTCCGGTGATTTCTTCAGTGACCGTGTGCTCTACCTGCAATCTAGCGTTCACTTCAATGAAATAGAAGTTGCCCTTCTCGTCGCACAAGAACTCCACGGTGCCGGCGTTTTCATATCCCACGTGTCTCGCCAACTTCACGGCCAAATCCGTCATCTGTTTCCTTACTTTGGGGTCTAAGTGGGGTGCAGGGGCCATTTCTACCACTTTTTGATGTCTTCTCTGCACTGAACAGTCTCGTTCGTACAGATGCACGACGTTTCCAGCCTTATCACCTAATTCAGAACTGATTTACTCCTTTGGAATTCGTTTAATATCAAAAGAATAATTGGAAGAAAGTGCTATATTCTGTTGAACCGATACAGATTGTAGGTACAGAAACATAAGGGAGGAATTCAGAGGTGTTCCCTTTGGACTCAATTTTGAGATGTGAGTTGGGAGGTAGACTTTCTTTAAAATTCTTCAATAGTATTGGTTGAGAGGTATTCAATTTTTCACTTTTGGATATTGAGTCGAGTCAAAATATTATTCCTAGAGGATACCGTTCATCGTGATGATAACTCCATACATAGCTGAATGATATGAGGATTTTCTGAAATCAGTAGACTCTGAATTGGTGAAACCAATAACTGTCCTGGCTTTTCATACTGGAAATATATCGGGTGGCTCACTCCTATAACTTTTTTATTATTGAAGATAGAAAAATGAAATTTGAGGGTTGACTATCATAGTGCAATCTACATTTTGTAACATATTTATATAGCTTTATCGCACTTCCGCTTTGACGGGAAATGAACCCAACTTTCGATTTTTTAATGGGAAATTCTATATATTTTTACTCATTTCGATCGAGAATGGCATTCTGAATCCAACAACACCTCACTTGTCAATATTTGACAAATGAGGTCATTGCTATCACAATTTTCATTTTGAGATGAGAATACCAACATTTACTGCAACTCTCATCATAATTGTTTTCACCAGTTCCTCGCTAATTTCAAAATTCTGTTCCACCTCCATTGTATCTTACGTAATCGTTAGGTAAGGATCCTGAAATTTTCTGGAGCGAAATACACTCTATGTCCAAGTGGGGTCATCTTCAACCTATTTTGACTCCTAATATCATTTTCCGGAAATTGGGGTGGTTTCATGGCTGTTGGCGAGCATTGTATATCACTTGGTCATAGAGTGCATTCTTGGTATATCTCTCGTTCCAGCAAATCTCAGGATCCTTACCCAACGATCTAGATTTTGCAGTTAGATCACCGAAAATTTTGTTTCTGACCGTTTTTGTCTCACAAAAAATTAACATTTTGCATGATCACGATACGGTCATCTCCAGGATATTCAAAAATTAATTGTAATATATCTTTGAGGAAATTTATCTTCTTGTTGTTTTCAAAAAATCATAATATCCCTCTACTCGCAGAGAAAAAAACTCAAATTTCGTTTTTGCAAAGTTTTCATCGATTTTCCACGAATTATGAAAAATGGAGCTGACCGGTTTTTGCACAGGGCCCTTCAATTTGACTCACCCAACAACTGAACCTCAATATGTCTCGGCCTCTCAATGAACTTCTCGATGAACATGGCTCCGTTTCCGAAGGCACTCAAGGCTTCAGAAGAAGCTCTTTGGAAATTCTCTTCCACCTCCTCCATTTTCCTGACGACCCTCATACCCCTACCCCCACCGCCGTAGGCGGCCTTGAAAATGACTGGGAGGCCGTGTTTGATACAAAATTCTTTGGCCTCTTCTTTCGTTGTGATTGGTCCGTCCGTTCCTGGTACGATCGGGACACCTGGAAAAAATCAATGGGTTTTCAGCGAGCACAAACATCCCTGGGATGTTTCGAAAATGTGGGCATGAGGATGTTTTTTTTAGACGTAATATGCACTTCCCAATACCAAACGTTTAGTAAAATAGGCGCCAGTCACTACATTCATCGGATAATACCACTACAAAATTGTATCATACTAAACTATGAGTATCATACTATTTTGTAGTGGTGATATTTGATATAGTTCAGTATTATATTATTGTACTAAACGTTTGCTAATTATTACCGACTAGTTTTTTCAGTTTACACAATACACAATAGTGTTCATACAGACATACATACGTCGATAAATAAATAAAATGAAATGAATATAAAGAGACATAAAAACATACAACAATGAAACAATGACAAAATAGTTTGAAGTTTAGTTTCGACGTGAAAAAAATACTAGATATTCATCAAATGTGTAAAAACTTTCTTCAATTAGAATACTTTTGACTCGATTCTTGAATTCCTGTAAACTCATAGATCGACCTCTGAGTTCGTCTGGAAGAACAATTTCATGGCGATTGAATGAAGACTTGGTTTTTGGAATTATTGGTTTCGGTAATCTTATATCCATCTTTCCTCTTATATTATATATATATGTATATCTTCATTTCTATAGGTTTTCCAGATCGAGTATCAGACGTTTCTTTCTTCATGTGAATGAGAGGGAGCACGACTAAATATCCCGTACAAAAATATCCTGTCAAAGAAATCCTGCCGAAAATAACCTGCACATTAATATATTTAGACAATGATAGCCTGACCAATAACATTTCCCTTCCTCAGTCAAATTATTATAATGATTCTATAAGGATATAAATGATAAGGTTATTTTCAGCAGGATATTTTTGACAGGATATTTTTGGACGGGATATTTAGTCGTAGACCCGAATGAGATATTCGTATACGAAGCATGAGGCCAGTGTAAAAATTTTGAATAACAAGGCATATGTCATTACTGAATGAAATATTGAGAAATAAGAAACTCTGAGATATTCATCAGTCAGTTTACCCTTCAGCTGTCTCAATATACAGGGTGTCCGGAAATTATGCGCAAAAAATCAAGGGGGTGATTCTGCATGTGAAAACATGAAATTTATTTTATATATACTTGGGTCCAGAAATGCATAGTTTTCAAGATACAGTGTGTTAAACTTTTTAGCAAAAATCGGTTTTTTATGAATATATCAGTTATTCTTCCACCGATTCCCGTGAAATTTGGCAATGATATTCTTCGTCATGAGGGGCTGATTCAACCATAATTTGAATTGGAATTGTGAAATCCAGTGGCGTCCCGGGCGCACCCTACCAAATATTATTGTCAATAAAATGTGCGCCACTGATTTTTTTGAATTCATGATCTTCATATCCTGATGATTACCTTAAAATACAACATTTCAATCTCCTGAATTGTTTTGCTATTTCTCCGCGTTTCCGTGGAAAAAAATAAATACCAATTCATTGTAATAGATTTGTGCAAAACATAGCTTCAAAAACAGGGGTGAAATTAAATGTGTGATCCATGTTCATAGACGTAGAATAAGAATGGAGATTAATTTTCTTCAAATATTTCATAATACATGTTTGACACACTTTTTATTATCGAAAACTACGCCTTCCTGGGCCGAGAATACATAGTTCTTGATATACCTACTGAGTGTAGAGTGTGTCAAACATAATATTATTATAAAATATATGAAGATAATTATTCTTCATTCTTATTCTACGTCTATGGACATGGATCACAAATTTAATTTCACCCCTGTTTTTGAAGCAATATTTTGCACAAATTTATACAATGAATTGGTATTTATTTTTTTCCACGGAAACGCAGCAAAATAGCAAAACAATTCAAGAAACCAAAATGTTGTATTTTTAGTTGGTCAATAGGTTATTAAGATACAGAATTCAAACAAATCAGTGGCGCACATTTAATAGACAATAATATTCGGTAGGTTGCCCATTGGGACGCCACTGGATTCCAAGATTCCAATTGAATTAGGGGTATATCAGCCCCTCATGACAAAAATAGCATTGCCATATTTCAAGAGAATCGGTGGAAAGACATTTGAGATATTCATAAAAAACCGATCTTTTTTAAAAGTTTCAACACACTGTATGTTGAAAACTATGCATTTCCGGACCTAGGTTCATATGAAATGAATTTCTTATTTCATTATGTAGATTCATCCCCTTGATTGTTTGCGCATAATTTCCGGACACCCTGTATATGTTGATGTTGCTAGACGCTTACATTCAGACCTGCATCTAGATGTACCCGAAGCAATTTAACCACGTTTCCGTATGAACCATTGTTCAACTTGAAATTCATATTTTGAGTCTTTTCATTATTGAGAGTAAGATAATTATACTCTCACTCCAAATTTGAATAATTTGTTCAGTGTTGGACATTTTGTCATTAAGGGTTTTTTCATTTCGATCACAGTGCATTATAGACACGTCATCCCAATAGGATGTATATATATTCAAAGGATATTGAAAGTATTGTTTTTGTTCTTATGTTGCATTTCTTTGTTTGTCTCTACTGAGAGGTAAAAGAGAAATAAAAATGAAATCAACATGTAGATGTCTTTTCTAGACCTAACATAGCCTGATGCCTTGAGAGGTTCATTGCAGATATTTAATATATTATATTCAATTTCCAGTTTCCACCATTCTACACACAATCATACTTTATTCATGTGAATTATGAATATCAGCATATTTTATATTTTTTTTCGACTCCTCACTTCGATCAACTATAATGTGATTTTTCCAGAATTTTTAGCACTCCAGGTTGTCTACACCCGCTAATAGAGAACATGAGCAGGGATTAGGACCGAAGGTACCTATATTAATCTAATTTTTATTCCATTAATATTTCAATTGCAGCGACATCCTATTTTTCTCAGAACAGAAGCAACGATATATGGGTTGTATTATTCATTCGAATTGAAAATGACGTTTCATCCATAATACGTAATAATATTTCAAAAGCATCATCTATAAACAATGAAGCTTTGCCAATGCACCAATAAATTTCAGTTGCGTCTCATGAGCCGTTTCAAATTTATGAAGAGAAAACAATTTGAAAATTGTAACGTCTAGCGCCCAACCAATGCAACTTTGTACTGAGATAAGTTTGCTGGCATCGAATTGTTTTGGTCTGAAGGATATGTATGGTGACTTATTGTAAATACCTTTTAGGGACACCCTGTATATCAATATTGATAAATTGGTCTAAGCTATACTAGATGTTATATTTTTTATTCATCATGTTGACCCCTTCCGAAATATTTATTAGAGCGCCACTTATCATTATTATTATCATAATCATTATCATTTTGATGTCTGCCTTCCAAAAATAAAAAACTATATATATTCTAATAGAGACCTTCATTCTCTAGCATTGCTCGATTGGTATGATTAGTTCAAAACCACTCGTTAGTAATAAAAAGAGAAAGGACGTATCGTTATGATATCTAAAAATTCATATTTTCATCTAACGATCACAAAAACAGATATTATGTCTGTAATATTTCGATCAAGCAATGGTCGGTTCGTTGAGTTTAAACCGTTCATGTTATTTTAACTTCACACACCTAATGGGAACGAGAATCATATAGTAAATTATATTGGTCATGGCCATGGCCATGTATTTAAGATAGCTTTGTTTGTTCAATTTCAATATTTTATAGGTTCATCTACCTCAACTTCATTAACATCTGCTACAGCTATCGTTATGTTCACAAAGTGTTAAAATCAGTTGATGTTATTGGATGTTGAACGAATCAGTTAGTTTGTGTCTCTGTGACGTTAATGTTGTATTCAAAATTATTGCGATTGTGGCAAAAAACAAACTATCCTAGAATCCTTCTTGTGTTCGACTAACTGCCCCACATTCGAAGTGAGACAAGTAAAAAGTTCTACTATTTTCGAACCATCATAACTTAGGATTGGATAACCCAATTTTCAATTTCTTTCTAATAGCTCATTCCATTGAGTACATTTCTCGTTATTTCACCTATCTGGGATGGAGAAGTACAAGGAGATATCTAAAAATGTGATAATTCTCGAAAATTTCAAGATCACCCTGTTTGACAGGAAATTATTTTTATGTTTCATTGAGGGCAATAAGATGGAGTATCATGATAGTTTTCTCGAAATGGTTTCGGATTCAAGAGGATTCATACAAGAAGTTTTGATATGTGGAATTTTTTAAAAAATACTACATTCTGATATGTTCAACCATCGCACGATAAAGGCAACTTCAACAAAATTTCAGATCGGCATGTTCTCAACGCTATCACTGTACAGGGTAGGCCAAATTGGACACTTTCAAAGGGAAAATCCTATTCTCGAATCAGATGGAAGAAACCTGATATTGGTGCCTGAGGGTCGATTCTCATGAAAAACTCAATGGTGAAATCCGCATATAGATATCTGTCTTCGTTTTGGAGTAACAAGGTGTTTTCCTGAAATGGGCATTTTTGAAAAGTGGCTACAGATATTTTTTTTTGCAAAAACTGTTTTCTAATAGAAATAAATGCAATAAACAGATCGTTGACTTGGTCGGAACATATTGGCAACATTGTGAAAAAAGCCAACAGCACTTCTTACATTGTTAAGAAGTCGTTTCAGCCCCCGGATAAGAAGTTATTAGTTCAACTGAATAAAAGCTCCATACGCCCCTTAATGGAGTACAATGTCTTAGTATGGTCACATCGTACTACTCGAAAATGTTGAGCGAAAACCAACGAAATGGGTGCCACAACTCTACGAACTGGAATACCACGACCGACTCACTGCACTGAATTTGAAAGAAAGACGAAAACGGGGTGACCTCATTCAATGTTACAGAATCTCCAATGATACCTTCTCTGTGGATCTTAGCCATATTTCCTCCTTAAGCACCGACGAAAGACTCCGTGGCCACAGTCTGAAGCTTTCTAAGGAAAAATTCAGAATCTCTCCAAGACATCATTGTTTCACTAATCGACTTTTCCACGAGTGGAACTCTCTCACCGACGCTAAAGTTACGACTCCATCTATAAATGCCTTCAAGAACCGACTCGACCATTATTACAACAATATAGCTATTCGACTCAAAATGTGCTTTGCTTGAGGAAGTATAACAGTCGAGAACAAATAATTAATATAACAGGTATCTTCAATTTTCAGTTTTCTTGATGTCGAATGAGTTATGTGAAGAAACAGTTGTTGAAAATAAATTCATATATAAAAAAATTGTAGTCGTGGACAAAGTATAGTATTCTACTCGCATATATACATATAATGAGCTATTATTCACTCAGGTTAATTGTGCCACTCGCTACGCTCGTGACATAAACTTAACGTTCGTGAAAAATAGCCAATTTTGTTATTTTCCTAGTGATTAATTTTTTACTTCTCGTTTAGTTTTTGCTTTCCAATTGTTTTTTTTATGTGACTTTTGTGACTGGGTTCACAATGTTCCCAAGGTTTGGGCAAAATAGCAAGTGAAAATCTCTGCCCTTCCCATGTAATAATAATAATAATAATGATAATATGAATATCAACATTATGACCGCATATTTACTCTTCTCATGTTTCTGATATGTATTTGTTCCGATCGATCTTTTTCAATTCTCAGGATGTATTTCTGAGACTGATATATGCGGCAGAAGGGCTGTTCGCATCAAACTTTAATAACGTGTTTCTTATTATTTTTTTATGTTCCATGATAGATATCAGGATAAGAGGGCCTCTTCTCTGGTCTAAATCAAATGAAAGAGAGATCACAATATATACAACTGACCTGCCGCAATGGCAGCTTCTCTCGCAGCCACCTTATCTCCCATCTGATAAACTACCTTTGGCGTAGGCCCGATAAACCTGATCCCCTCATCGATGACCGCCTGAGCGAAGTCAGAGCGCTCAGATAGAAAACCGTAGCCTGGATGCACGGCATCTATACCGTTGTCCTTGCAGATCTTGATTATCTCTGGAATGTTCAGGTAGGCTGCGACCGGAGCCAAGCCTTCGCCCACTAAGTAACTCTCGTCAGCCTTGAGCCTGTGAACAGAATCGAAAAATCATTCAAGAGGGACCCACGAAACATGTAATGTTACAAAATATTGCCACAATATATTGTGAAGCTTTCGTGTTGACAATATAACAGAAACAATCTACTGACAATTTGTTTGTGCGTTACAAAATGACCCTTCCATTTTAGTTTCAATATCACTATTGCATCAACTATATATTCTCATTGAAATTGCAACATTACATGGACTGACTACGAACAATATCAGTGCAACGTTATACATAAGGAACTATCAGTTAATTTTCAATTGTAATGTTGCATCAAAATTGATACTTCTTGAGTTCCTAAATAACATAAGCTAACTACAAACAATTTAGCTACAACTTATGAAATGGAACGCATATTTGATTATAATTTGTATCGAGGCACATCATTTCATGAAATGCCTATGCGCAGTCGCAAACTTGCATTTGAAAAACGCCAGCATCTCAGTCGCCATATTTGTTGGTGTTTGGCTTCGGTAACAGGTATTTTGTTGTTGTATACGTCCAAATGGTGAATAATACCAATAAATATACTTTGGAACATAAATTGAAGTATATGTGATGATATCATGCTGATGGGAAGGTTTTGAATTGCAGTTAGCAGTTGATGGGTTAGGTAAATCATCAGTTATTCTAGGTTAGGTATGCATTTTTTAAATTCATACACCGTTTATTGATTTGAGCGGATCGTTCGATCGACAATAAATAAAGTAGAATTATTTTAATTATTTGTATACCTACTTATATTCATAGGACAAACTTGTGAATTCCTTTGATTCAGCAGTGATAGTAAAACAAAGTGTTATTGTTTCTGTTTGAGCTTTCGAGTCTTCGATCATCAGGAGCTCTACAAAACATTAAAATTAATATGAGATCAATCCTGCTGATTATTCAAACATTTACGAAAATCATCAAATCTTATCTCTCATCTTACTGTACTTATAGCTGCTGTATAAAAAACTTTGAGTTCGCACTCACAATTAATTTCTAAACAACCTCAAATATCGTTCTTCAGAATATTCTCTGGATCCCATGAAATATTCATATTATATCTTGTGAATATTATATGAACATATCTTCTGTGTATATTATAACGATACTCTCAGCATACCTTGTATATTTAGGTGAGGTATCAATGGCTTATTGTTGATTATTCTCATGGTCCCCAGCAGAATGTTTAGAAGAACATAGATATTCAATTGGAATCTAGAGAATCTTTGAACATTTGAAAATGAATATTTCCACAATCCAGTATGCAATTATCAATCTCAAGTTTACACGATATATGAAGTAACAGGTAGATTCCTGATTATTTTATTTTATTATTATTTCCTAACCTGCACCTTCGCAGTGCAGTGCCTAAGCCGAATATCACCGTCATATCCGAAACATTTTGGAATTTTCTCAATTGACTCATAAATTATGGAATAGTCGACACGATTATTCGATTTTCAGAAAGTTGCTGCTTTGTATAATTTATAAGATCAAATATGTAATTTTCCTATGACTTTTATTTTATATTCCCAGTAACCTCAATAACATATTACAATAAGCTAACATTGGAAATGTTACAATAACTTTGCTGAAATGATTCATTCGCAAACATCACATTCATAATATTGCTGAACGTCCGTTTCAGTAGTTGCTGCTACCTTGCAGTAAGATAGCGACAATATCTGATGTAACATTACATTGAAATACTGCTGCAATATTGTTGAGATATCACTTTGCTTAATGGGGAATGGAAGCGTCGGAGCTTGGTGTACGTATGAGGTTCGGAAAAATTCAACTGTCCTCTGAGGGTTTGAACTAGACAGAACATCGATCTAGTTGCTATGAATATTGGGAAGCCAATTATTCAATTTTTGAAGTGAGAACTTCTCAGGCGCGTTCAAAACTTTTTTTGGGTGAACAAATAAAACATTGGATTTCGCGTCATCGTCACCAAATGATTCCTATGCTATAAGCTATACTCTGAGATGGCCAAATGATAAACAGAGAGGGTTAGTGTGCGACAAAGATCTACTACGCGCTTTTATTAGGAAGAACAATCGGAAGAAGAATTGCAGCCTTTTTTGCAGGTAGAATATAATAATAACTGAAATGGGATTTTGTTTTGGAGTGTTCCTTTCCTAGCCAGGTGGCGTTCGGCGTTTGCGTTCATTTCGCGGACGTTGAACGCCTCGAGGGGTATAAATGCTGAGATGCGTTTCTGTTGGGTCAGGTTCGCACCAGATAGCGGTCAAGAAGCTATCTGGAACAGCCCTGCACTGATGAGAGCCAATAGCTGGAAACCGGTTTGCAGGTAGTCACCCGTTCCTGAACTACTTAGGCGCAGTTCGGCGTTTAGGAAGGAAACACTTGCAATTTTATTGGTCTATACGAATTATTGCATTGATTTCGGGAAGATGTAATTCAATGTTCTGCGTGGCATATCCGCCATTTTCGTTCATTTTATGAACTATTGTGGTAATGACTTTGAGTTTTTCTTTGTGACCATTGCATTCCACTTTGAGTGTTTGGCTTTTTCCCAGTTGAATTACTACTGATTGACTGTTCTATATTGTAATCCTATTCAGAGTAATTTGAAAGTAAAATAGGAATAGACGAATAATAACCGAGATAATAACATCGGATTATGTGCAACGGATCAAATTTGAATTCCCAAAATAAAGACCATAGTCACACAAGATAACATACAGTGTGTATCAGCCAAATGAAATAAATTCGATAAGGAATTAGCGGGGCCATGATCGAAATAACGCTACGCAGATTCATATGTATACTTCTTCTTGCTTTCAATATGAATCTTCAAATGAATAATGAAAAAAGATAATTATTTTAGTTATATTACAATATTTTCACTTACTATGAGACTCTTTTCTTTCAATTTGGGTATAGCTATAAATATGTGCCGAATCATATATAATACTTCATACTTGTGCAAGAGAATGTATACGCCACAAAAATAATGAAGATCAGTACAATAATAATGCATTTTCTTTCGATTATTCTAATTTGATTAGCTACAAATGTGCCATAAATTTAATTTATCAATGTGAAGTGTTTACTATTATATTATAATAATAATAATAATAATAATAATAATATGTCTTTATTCATCATCATCATTTCACAACTGGTAGAGAAAGAAACAAATAGATGAAAGGGCGGGGTTCAGCTAAGAAGCTGCTTTTAAACCCAACCGGTAGAATGATATAAATATAATTAATATGAAACTAAATTACAGAATTTTCAAAATGAATTTATGATTAAGAATTGTACATAGGTTATCGGAATAATTAACAGAAAATTAGTATAAATGTATAAGTGGACAGTACAGTTTAATGCACTGAATAAGATAGTTACAACCAGATCAAAAATCACGCCGTCATAAAAAAGGAAAATCTACTGCCGCCCAGAGAAAAACAATTTCAGCCGTTTCTTAAAATTATTTAAAGTGAATTCCTTGAATTCAACAGGGATGGTATTGTAGAGCTTAGCAGCATTATAGGAAAAGCTTCGGGTGAAAATTGACTTGGTATGTCTAGGAATAAGTAGCAAATGCTTGTTGCGCGAAGACTTTTTAAGTGATAGTTTAGAAAGTTTATTACGTAAATATGGCGGTGAACCAGATATCAAAATTTTGTGGGTGAAAGTGAGTAGGTGTATTTCCCTCGTGTGTTTCAGTTTCAGCCATCCAGAGTCGTGAAAGGCATCACTAATGTGTTCATATTTGCGGATACCATATGAAAATCGAACACAGCTATTTTGAATTTTTTGCACACGTGTAGAATCAGTTTTGTAGAAGAGCAGGTCCGTAGATACAATCACAGTACGCCAATCTAGAAAAAATGAGGGATTCGCAAAGATTTAATTTAGTTCTTTTCGATAAAATATTTCTACTCGGATAAAGTTGTCTCAATACATTGAAGGAGGATTGGCATAAATGGTTGACGTGCTTAGTGAATCTCATGTCAGTATCTAGCCATAAACCCAAATTCTTACATGCATCCACAAAGGGAATTACGTCTTTGTTAATTTGGATTGAAAGAGAATCACATAATTCTTTTCTCACACATTTAGAACCAAAAAGCATAGCTTGGGATTTCTTCGAATTCAGTTTCAAATTATGGGCACAGGAGGCATCGAACAATAACTGTAAATTTCTGTTGATATCTTCTTCGGCGAGCTTAGAATTATGGAAATTGAAAGAGCTGTAAAGTTGTGTGTCATCAGCATAGTGATGAATGTTACCTGATCTAATATATTCATGGAAGTCGCTTATATAGAGTGCAAATAGCAGTGGTCCTAAGATGGAACCTTGCGGGACTCCGAATGGTTTATCCAACTAGAAAGAAGCCAATTACTCGAAATGGAATGCAATGGTCACAAAGAGAGGGAAACTCGCAATGTCATTACCATACTTGTTTATGAAATGAACGAAATATGGTAGATAACTAGAGGAGAACAACTACTTTACTGGCTATATGACACAAACATTGAATTACCTGCTCTCGATATCTATTCTACGTTTCCTAAAGATGAATAAGGTTGCAAATGTTTTTTTCCAAAACGCTTAATTGTGCTTAAACTGTTCAAGATCCCATGGACCACCTGCAGACCGGTTGCAAGATTTGACTATCATCAGTGCAGGGTTGTCCCCAGATAGCATTCTTGACCGCTATCTGGTGCGAACCTGACCCAACGTGAATGCATCTCAGCATTCAATACCCATGTGGCGTTCAATGTCTGTGAAATGAACGCGAACGCCATCTGGCAAGGAAAGAAACACTCCAAAACAAAATCAAATTTCAGATTAAATGGGAATGGCTGGTTGCCCGACTGGCGTATCTTCAACTAGAAAAAAGCCAAATACTCAAAGTGGAATGTAATGGTCACACAGAGAGAGAACCTCAAAGTCATCACCATACTAGTTCATGAAATGGACGCCTCATGGGTAGTAAATGCTGGGATGCGTTTTCGTTGAGCCAGGTTCGCACCAGATAGCGGTCAAGAATGCTTTTTAGGGGACAACCCTGCAGTGATGATAGCCAAAAGCTTGAAACCGTTCATGCGTTCCTGAACAATTCAAACACAATTCAGCATTCAGGAAAGAAACATCTGCAACCTTGTTCGTCTTCAGGAATCATTACATAGATATCGAGAGGATGTAATTTAATGCTCTGCGTGGCATATAGGAAGGAAGTTGTTTTTCTCTTGTTATCTATCATTTTTTGTTCATTTTATGAACTAGTGCGGTGATGACTTTGAGTTTTGTATCATATTATAGATAAGAAGTGTAAAAAACACTCAGCACGTCGGGAAAAATGTTAATTGCTGGACGCTGGTGCATCAAGGATTAAAGTTCAAATTGGTCTTTAACACTTTTTTACAAACCAGAATTATTTCGAATAATAATATAATTTGACGATACAATTCACAAGGTAGTTAGTTTTCACTTCTATCTAATACTGCCCCACATTATTTCTACCATATATCTCTCAACATATGATCATAGAAACATTCTGAGCTGAGCGGTCTAAAAAGATACCAGGATTTGGGTTCTTCATCTGTGGCTGTACTGCTCAGTTATTTTGGCTGTGGAAACAAGTCCATATAAGTTAGACAAAAATAGAACCAAACATCAAAATCCGATAAAGAAGGTTCGATTCTGATAGAATAAAGTGCGTTATTTTCGTAATTGCATGTGAATTTATCATTGAACAATAATCATTAACGGAATGATGTGATTTGGCTGATATTTACATGACTTCAGATGATATATCTACGGGTCGGAGTGAACGATGTTGTATATAGGTAGTTCAAGTCCAGTAGGGATCCGACTGATTCTCATTTGTTCTTTGATTATCAATTGATTATTATAAACATATTGCACCGTAACGTCAAGGGTTGAAGATGTAAGGGTCGTTTATTAACGCTGAATCATGGTAATAGCATCGTCAGCAGAACTTGAAGTACCAGTAATTGATTTAAGCAAACTAGAAAGTGATTAATGGCCATCATAGCCCTCAGGCTTTAATAGCGTAAGACAGATTAATGTGATCACAGTATGAAAATTCGTCAAACATATTTCGTTACAGCTTATGGAGTCATGACCACAAATGATCATCTGGGCACGACCATGTGTCCAATAGTAAATATCCGAAGTGTCCCAACATAATTGAGATTTATTTCTGATGGCATCAAAAATGATTTCACCTCACAGTAGCTTTTGATCCTCAGAGCTCAAACTCTGATATGGAGCCTGCAATGGAATCTTTTTCACATCCTAACATATCTGAAATTGTATTCTTCATTGATTCCTGAAGTTTTTGGCTCATTCCTGAAGCTGAACTACATTATTTTTTATGTTTGTAAATGGAATGTGAGTGTCATAGGAAGTGAATCAATGATTAAATTTGATGATCTAGAAATAAAGTAGTAGAGTGGAGCATAGTGACTCAAAATCGGTTCATGCGGTGAACTCTATGAAAGCCAACGCATTGTCTTGATGTAATAACCATTCACACAGAAATTGGATTGAAGTTTATTTGCTGTAGTTCGAATTGGATGAATCTTTGTCGTTGTTGAATTCAGTCAGATGAAAGTATTCTTTTGATATCTTTTTATGCTGTGAGGCTGATTATTACCAATTTAGATATCCATTTCCCATCAAATTTCCTAATGCAGAAGAATGGTTCCTTTGGTTTGAGATTCCACTAGGAAATCTGGAGTTTTCTCTAACATGAAGAAAATGAGACTAAATGAATCAAAGTTGAAAATTACACCAGCATCATTCCATTATCCCATTATTTTGGAAAATATTGGGCAGGAATATGGGCATTCTAGATATTTGAATGATATATCAAAGGTAATGTTTGGAGAAAGCACCAACGATGCACTGAAAGCTGTGAGATCCTACGAATTTGAATGTGAAGCAGTCAAATTAATTGACAAGGTATTGGACTGACTCATATTGGATGCCAAGGGATGCATTGAAAAAAATAAAACTGTCGATGACCTTGCCAAACTAGGAGCTATGACATTATTCGAACAGGAATCATTTACTGGTTCATCAAAAACCACTTTCTCCTCTGAAAAAGTATACAAGAATGATTATACTGAAGAAATGTTCATGACCGAAGACAAGCTGATGAAAATTATACCTTATGTATTCAATAGAGAATAATTCGATTCTGATAACAGACCTTCCCGCTAGTCATGGTCATCTGACTCATCAGATTAGACATCTCAGTTCACCCCCAAGTAATCCGGGCTCTTACCCAACTAAACTACTTGTTCATACAAGGTGCTGGCTTCCTACCTGTGGATGTGTGATCTATCTTCTTTGGAATAGATGGCCACTGATTTGATCCCGAGTTCATTGCAAGCTCTGAACACACGTACAGCTATTTCTCCTCGATTGGCCACCAAGACACTGCGAATCGGCTTATACTCGACTTTGGTGGAGTATTTCCATTTTGAGTGTGGCTTGAGTACGTTGGTGTGGCGCAGAAGCGGACTTCTGGTAAGGCGTATCAGCATCTTGGTGGTTGTTTATTCAATTCTGAAATGGATAAAACATCATTGCTATGGGTGAAAAATATAATGTGAATATCGTGATTTTCGTAAATTGATTAGATAATGGAAGTGTTCAGCCTGCCGACCTTTTATATAGCAGACTAATCCCAATGCTAGAAGACCGACCAATCAGAATACTTAGACATTGAATTATCCCTAAAATACAGTAAATATATTCTGTGAAGCAATAGCTTTCTGAGCTAATTAACCCAATATAATATCACATTCGAATCCTGCTCTAAGAAATTCACTGATCTATGTGCGAAGTAGTTTCAAAGAAGAATCATTATCAAGCTCAACACAAATCCAACATATCGGAAAACAATGGATCAACGATGAATGGAATCATCTCAAGAGACATATATCTCTATTAATCCTCATCTTTCAGAGGGTTTTTGAGAAGGTTTTTTATGAATGCTACCCCAATCATGAATATTTGAATACTGATGGTTACATTATAACATACATGTTTGAATTACACCTAGATGAATTTGAAAACCGTAATATTGGAGCCATATCGCTTGGATGATATTTATCATTTCGGTATCTCATGAAGTTTTCGTTTCCATTTACATAGAGACATTTGCTTCACATGGTCGAGGATGAGCAAGTAGTGTCTTACAACTGCTTTTCATTATGCAATTATTTATGAAAATTGATTGGGTGGCCCACGTGTAACTATACCGGGTGTCAACGAATCTATTAGACAAGTCATAACTTCTAGACTATTAGGTGTATCAAAATGAGATTTGGTATAGGTAAATGGTGTGTGAAGAGAAGAGTTTTCACATATTTTTCACATTCCGGGCACTTCCGGTTTCCCGGAAATGGCTCCGGTTCTAAATTTTTAAATGGAACACCCTGTATATTGTAACATTTTTGGATTTCTGAGACAATTCTAGATCAGAATGTGACAGTTTCGAAAGTTTTCAAGCCTACTTAAGTTTTTCGGAGTCACTTTTGAAATAACATCTAGGTGGCCATGATCGGAAGTAAACTAATCTAAGGACCTCAGGTGAAATCAGAAAATTACAATCGCGAAGTTTTAGTGACAAGTATGTTAGATATGAATAAGACGAGTTGGCAAAATTACATTTTCGTATCTAACTATTATTTTTCAAATGGAGACCATTTTTTGACAAGCACTTTCCGAAAAAAGGATATTTTGACGAATCTAACGATACTAATTTATTTGCGATTGGATCAACAAATTTAACAAAATTAACAATAACTTCAGCGATGCACGTACATTTCTTTCAATTTCCTTATTTCTTAAAATTTTCACCATAGTAAATTTTCAAAGTGCATTCCTCCTTGTTCGAGACACATTTCAGCTCGTTCAATTGTTTCTCTCAAACCGTTTCGTAACATTTGTGGCGTGATACTTCTAAATGCCTGTAGAATCCTTTCTTCTGGGATTTCAAGAGTGGCTGGGGCTGTTGCATAGTAGACCCTTTCTTTGACATATCCCCGTATAGTTTACTTCCGATCATGGCCACCTAGATGTAATTTCAAAAGTGACTCTCAAAAAATTAAGTAGGCATAAAAACTTTCGAGAATGTCACATTCTGATCTAGAATTGTCTCAGAGATCCAAAAATGTTACAATATATAGGGTGTTCCATTTAAAAATTTAGAACCGGAGCCATTTCCGGTGAAACCGGAAGTGATCAGAAAGTGAAAAATATGCGAAAACTCTCCTCTTTACATACCATTTACCTATACCAAATCTCATTTTGATACACCTAATGCTCTAGAAGTTATGACTTGTCTAATAGATTCGTTGACACCCGGTATAGAGATTTTAGGTTGTCATTGAAAGTAACAATTCTAGATATTTCCATATGCTTTTTCATTTTGTTGCTGTTCATCTATTAATTTTTCTTATACATATCACAACAATAACAAAGGTTTCTTGTTTGAGAAAATATGCGTTCATTTAGGAAGAGAAATTACAATAAACCATTTAATTATTTTGAAGACTCTTCGTGAAGATTCAAGAATCAAAAGTTGAACTATTGCCGAAATATACGTACACTCGCTCATATGTACTTACATAGTTTTGAAATTATTATGGATTTTTCTATATCTCCAGGAGAATGATTGAGTACCTACTACCTATCATTCGCAAATCATGGGGTGAATCAGTAACTTTTAAAGAAATGTGAAATATAGATGAGATGGCCTGATGTCATCACTCAACTAACATAACATTTGTCGACAGCATTTCACAAATGGAAATGAGAAATATCATTTGGAAAAATAGACACCCAGTATACGACATATAGTAAACAGTGCGTAAAATATCAATTCTTGGATTTATTTTTATCTGGTAGACAATGATAGTAGACCGACTTGAACTTTAAACCTTATTTGATTAATAATTCAGTCGGAGTCCCGTCACGAATGTAGAAAACATATTCAATTGATATTGTCTACTCAAGTTACACCGTTTTCCAATCATATGCTGATAATGCTATTTTAAATCGACCTTCTCAACATGTATAAATACTATCCGATGAAATCATTCATTATTCGAGATCACCAGAAACACTAACATTCAAGTAATGTATATCTTCAATACAAGTTCAATAACTTTTTTTTATGTTCTGGTTCCCACGAGAAGGGATATTCTGTAATGTCCAGAGCTGAAATTACCTCGGAAATTACGCCCTGTATGAAGGTGCAACTGATAAAAGTATTGATGTTTGCTCAAAATGCCATGATCTTTGGCCTTTTTGAAATTGTTTACTGTATAGATGCATGAATTATAGAATCACTGAACTGGTTTTACCCGAGATTCCATATTAATCAGGGGAACTTTGTTTCATCATATAGTTTATTACTGTGATTTTTTCATTTAAAAAAAAATCATTTTCCTTATGCTTAGCCTCTGTATATCTTTACCCGCCAACGTCACAATAAATTGGCACAAAATGTGTACCTACTTTCCACCCTACCATACCTACGTCATGACTGTTAATTTGAAAGTAGATTCTGTCACAGAAATTGTTTGGACGTATTCCAGTCATTAATAGTTATTTAACCAACTAGTTTATTAATCGCCTTTTAATATACGAGTTGGTTACAAAATTTTTCCGTCGACTATATTTCTCATTTCTCCTGCAATAAAGAAAACTTGGTTCGCGAATTCATCATTCATCTGATGGAAACTGCTAAGAATCACCCAGTAGCCTGCTTGTCACTGACATTAGTGTCATTTGACATTTGTCGAAATGATCAACATAGAAAATAAATTCCTTGTGTTAGAAAACAGAAAATCGTGTCAGAAACTTGGAAAGGTGAACCCGTTAACAGAAAATCTTCAATGAAATCCATATTTTCGATTTAAATGCAGATTCCGTAAGTTATAGCATAAACAATGAATGCACGCGGTGTATGTTTGGTTGCCTATAAAACAATCGTACATTAATAGACAAATCGTTCATTAATAGGGGTCATTAATGAACGATTTCATATACATTAAACTTAGTCGTTAATACGAGGTCGACGGAAAATATCATTATATTATATGACCAACAATAAAAATAATCTAGTCCACGTGGTCTCGAAAATGGATACCACAATCACATGATGTATCTGCATTATTTGTGCATTCATCGAAGGTGAATATTATTGATAATATCACACCTAACATTTTCGACCAATTAGAAGCCTGTATTTTGTATCGTTACCAAATCTCTGCTATCATCCCTTCACTAGCAATACCAATCAGACTAGACAAGCCCAGTCAGTACATCCTTTCGTTGTCAACCTCGAAAGATGTCGAACAGCACTTTATCAAGACTCCTTCATCCATAGAACGGCTAGGCTCTGGAATTCATTGCCTGTGGAAGTATTCCCAACAACATATAATCTCCAGAAGTTCAAAAAAAATTCCAATACCTTCCTCCTGTCCCTATCCTCCCTATAGGAACGCACGATGTTCTGTGAACATTATAGGGATTCCCTTTCGTGCGCTCCAAGCGATAAAAAAATACATTTTTAGAATTTCTTCCCTCCTTGGGGGAAGGAGCATGAAATTTTTTGACGTTCATTGGTGAAATGACATTTACATTCAACTTCATATTACGTCGAATTCATTATACAGGGTGTTTCATGAGAAGACTCACATAGCCAAATGGTTAATAGGGGAAATCAGGACGAGTTGATGTATATACAGGGTGTTTCGAAATTCGACCGACAACGCTTGACAGGTGATAGCCCTCGTGATTTCATAATCACTGAGATAGGGACATACGATCTTCAAGTGTTCAGTTCTCGAGATACAGGGCGTTGAAGTTGAGAAATTTAAATAGGTTTTTCGCTATATCTCAAGAAAAACTGAATTTGATGCATTCAAATTCGGTATATGGTTTCATCTTTCAATGGTTGATTTTTTGACCAGAAAGACATTCCGAGAATTTTACCCAGAGGTGCGCTACAGGGGGTTGTGATAACTTTTCCTCCCATATTTTCTACGCCACTGATGAAATTTCGATTATTTCAAATTTCTCGAATTGATTGTTCAATTATATCGAAAAACTGCATCACCTTCAACTAAGCTAAAATGAACAGTTATCGAGATATTTGACCCAAAATAAAAGTTTGCATAGTAATTTTTCATCTTCTTCAGTAGTAGAAGATTAAAAAAATTTTTGTTTTCTCTTTATGAGTGAAATAACTGTTTCTGTTCAGCTACAGAATGAGATCTGAATAGTATGTAATCTACTCAACACCAGAAAAATATTTTTGCAATTTTCTACTACTGAAAATGATGAAATATTACTATGCAATCTTCTATTTTGGGTCGAATATCTCGAAAACTGTTTATTTCAGCTCAGTTGAAGGTGATGCATTTTCTGAACAAAATTGAACAATGAATTCGAGGAATTGGAAATAATCGAAATTCAATCAGTGGCGTAGAAAATATGGAAGGAAAAAATGCCACAACCCCCTGTAGGG